CAGCTTCAGCGCTAGATAATTTTTCAAATGACATGTTTGCCTTCTATGGTTTAAGGGCGCAATTTTGCTTTCATATAGCCACTGCATTTATTCATTGAATCCACACAAGTGCAAATAACAGAGTTGCCTTTTTTCGAAAATTACAGATTTCTAATTCACAAATGAAGTATTTACCTTTCGCAAATCGATTTTACCGATTTTAGTTACTCTCGCCCTAAAACATTTTTTCACTTTATTTCGCTTCGCAAATTACAATAAGCCCTCTCAGAGACAATGACAATACGACTTCGATACTTCGCAAAGACTCGAGAGAAAACGAAATCTCTTTCCAATTTCTGAAACAGTCTGAGTTGATAAGTAATTTAAAGCTGACGTTTCGAGCGTTAGCCCTTCGTCAGAGCGACGAAACGTCAGCTTTTTTACCCTTTACGGCGTCTAATTTACGTTTTCAACTCAGTTGTTAACACTAAATTACCTGCTATACTTTCCCACCGACGCAGCACCACAGTTTCTTTAGGAACTTACCCCTTTATTTATGAGTTGATAAGTGTCTGCTAATTAACTGCAGGCCAAATCAAAATATTATGCAAAGGTAGGCAGAAAAAAACGAATTGCACAAATAAAGTTAAAGTGTGTGGGCTGTGAGGAATTGGGCAACGATAATTTCTCTGTCTACACCTGTTATATCACCTTTTGTTGTGTTTGCATGTTATCAAACAAATCAGTAATTGTCATATATTAATAAATGCTAAGAATTATCATTTCCTGAATTTGGCTTTGTTTTTCCCCATATGTACTCTAGAGACCTAGCTCTATCAGGACCATTTTTGGGACCATTTTATCGGGGGAAGGCAGGCCATTAGTACCAAGAGGGGGATGGGGTACAGGCTATCAGTTCTCAGGGAGGGGTGGGAGGCAGACTGTTGTTACTGAAGGAGGGGTGGAGGATGAACTATTAGTACACAGAGAGGGTTGGGAAGTTGTTGTGTTAGTAAATGCTACTGATTAATGGAGTTTTCACTAGATCATGCAAATTATTTTGAGCGGTTTTTCGACTGACGTAGCGTTTCTTTATTTTTTTGTCAAGCGAATGAGAAACTGGCACTCAAACACTGGACTGTAATTGTTATTGAAAATATCACCAATTCCCGTTTTCGATCCTCCACTGTTAAGTCATGCATGTGTCCTCTAAGTCAACATGTGCCAGTGTTAAACGATACTCACACGTTATCCCTGTCTACTCAAATAAGCTTATTTTGAATTGCGAGCACTGTCGACCCTAATTTTATCGCTAATGTCAACACGTGTCACAGTTAATGGTCACCTAAAACACGACAACAGTTTGAAAACGTTATCTACGGAAACCTTGGTATTTTTCATAATTTTCCTTTAATAAAAAAAAATAATTGACATCGATATTCCCACACATGACCGGCGCAATCCGGAAAATGATTAAAAACCTATTTTGGGATGATATACAGAGCCCTCAAGGGTCAAAAATACTCTACACAGCGCCTTGAGAAAAACAAGTCAAGAATAACACGTGTCTACTTTATCTTTCCAAACACATTTGCGATTTCTGTCCCGCTAAAATCAATGTTCAACTCATGTTTGGTTGTTTTGGAGCCTCTTGCATATAATACTGCTGATCTTAACAAGTTAAAGGATAATTTTGGTCTCAGCCGATGAGTTGCAATGCTATAGTCCATCTGCTTCTTCTCGGATGGCTTCAGGGCTTTTCTTGGCTTTTCTCGGCGTTTCTCGAACTTCATGCAAGCGCGTTTGCCGGCTCTAAATCTGAGATCGATGCGTATATTTACTGCAGCAGAGACCTCTACTAACATGCGAAATGTCGGAATAATGAGCACACCCAGGTAGCATACTGATGCCGTGAGGTGTAACATGTCTGTCTAAGTTGGGCCAGGGTCACGTAACAAAACCAGAATTAAATCATGGAATTTTAAATCTGAAGGATGTGAACAGCAAAGTGTGCTATTTAATTCAATGAGTTTAGACAAGAGAAGCTAGTGGAAACATACTCTGTCTTGCTTCAGACAGAGGAGAACTCGCAAGATAAATACTCACGCTATCATTTATCTGCTTGATGCAGTTCCGGCGATTAAAAATTGCTGATATATTGTGAATCTAATGTTGCATTTTGGTATAATTTTAGCGCTTTCACTAGCGACAGTCGCGAATAAAATTAAGCACCGAAGATAATGAACCAAGGGCAGGTTTTGGACAAATTTACTATCTGATCAAACTCGGCATTTACCGTAACGAAGAATGAATGCCTGCGGATACAATAAAACCTCCGACAAAAGTACGTATATTGCTTAATAATCTCTATCACAAGCTTGCGAGAAATGACGACATTTTTTTTTAATCAGAGTAAAGATGTCAGCAAAACGTACCTTAAAAAGGCAAAGATCCTCCTTCACTCAAGTCTGCTTAGACTGTACAGTGAATTTGCTGCTTTCACCGCCACGCTTGAGGCCCACAAGGCAAATGGTTTACGTTGTTTAATTTAACCTTCTAACCCCTTAAGAGTGACAGTTAATTTCTCCTTACAGCATTGCTGTTAAATCAAACGTTAAGATCATGAGGAATGAAAGAAATGATCGTCTCCTTAAGAGGCTCCTGGCTGTTCAACAAATTCTCTTTGTAAGGACCATAGGAGATGTACAGAGAATAATATGGAAAATTAAAACGCTGACGAAGGTTCTAAAGGATAAATTGTATGAATTTTATATCATTTAATAAGCACATCGTGGCTATTAAAAGCAATCAAGCTGCGTTAAGCATTCCAGGTGTGGTTATTAAATTATCTTGGTCCCCTTGTTTCGCCAATAAATGTTATATAAACATTTGTGTAGTTGCTGTTGTTTTTCAGTTCCACTGATTCGATAGAGGGTCTGCTTGTGCCCACCAACTCTTTGAATGAAAATGAAAGTCCGCCGTTACTCTACAGAAAAGATTTGCTCGTACAAGTCTTGTTGACAACTGAATAAGACTAAATTAAACGAAGCAGCTTAAGGGGTGAAGGTCAATAACGCGAAGCTCATCGTCTGGCATGTGAATTTAATTCTTGAATAAACAAGTTTTTACGGCAGCGTGTTTTGCCAAAGCTCTCTGGAACATTCGATAATCATGGCTAGCTAAGTAAAGGCAAAAACGTGCACCCTGAAAATGATGAGCTATTTTTAACGTTCTGTAGCTAAATCAGCTTCATGAAGTGTTATTGAATCTCGATTAATCGGTCTGCCGTCCGACGAAGAAGCTTGATGATATCCATTATGTCCATTTTGTTTCAAGGTTTGTTGGAGAGGACCTGACTGTCTTTCAACATCTGTAGGTTAAGTCAGCGAGAAAGTGCGTACGTGGCAAATGAATTCACCTGACAGGTAGCACACAAGAGGTATGAGGCATATACCTTGTATTAAGTGCTGAAATCCTTGTTCAATCTTTATTTTTCAACCCCGGCACCTTTCTTTGTACTTCCGACGGTCTTCACATTACCCAACATCAGCACAGGTAATTAGATTGCGAAACAGGAAAGCACGCACGCAAAATTCTTACAGGCTGATCACGGAAATGAGCCTAGTGAGGTCAGTGCGGTGTGTTGAAACAAGGTGCAAAGCGGATTACTCACGGCGGCAGGTTAAAAAATAATGAGCAGAAAAGCCTATTTATAGCTAGAGTCACGCGACGGCAAACCAAATAGCCTGCGTTACTGACGGTTTTTTGAAGTTCAGTGAGCAAAAGTCGACTGAGTCGCGACGAGTAGAAACAGACAAATGTAAGAAGTGACTCGGTTTACTCCCCATAAATCCTCCGCTTAAGAGTTCGCTTTGCGTGTTAGAGCCCATCTGGAACAGATTGCACTGTAAAGACTGTCATTTGGTCCACTGATAAGAAATTGCCACTTAACATGCTTTCAATCAATACTTTCACTTGTGGAAAATACTCATCATTATGTTGCTTAAGCCCAAACATATGCATCGAACCATTCGGGTAATGGCAGCAAAACAACACCAAAAAGTTCAACATCTTATAATATTCAGCTCTATAAGAAGATCATGCCCTTTCTTTGAAAATGATTATAACTATTGAGACCTAGGACTATTCCGGCAACACATATATTGAATCCATTCATTTTCATTTTAAATTGACAACTAATTCATGCATTCATTTATCGTTTTTTTGAATTCGGCGCACATTAAATTTTAATTACTGAAGTTATTATGGATTTTGGGCGAGAAAGGTTTCTGCACTGTTTTCGTGAGGATAAATAGTGCAAAGGTTTCAAGGCGAAAAAGATCTTCAGTGACTCTGAACTCGAGTAGTTTACCTGTAAATACTGAAAAAGAAAACGCTTTTTTCACAGAACAAGAGAATCCGACAAATAACTTAGCATAATTACGAAATCAGCTGGTGCTCTAACGAGCTGGGTATCGTCTAACTCATGCTCCGATCTAGGCTGCTGAACGGTCAAATGCCACATCATAATCTACTCAGACGCACGTATTTCGTCGTCGCCATCAATGGCTTACATGTTGGAATGCCATATTAGGCACATTTTACAAAATCGTCGACACTTCCTTTACGTTTTTAAAGTAGCAATAGCAAAATTTTAAGGTGCAAAAGCACAAGAAAACTAAAGATGTTGAGAAATTAGTTGTTTTAATTTGCTAGAAAAACATTCGTGCCTTCATTTATCAATACTGTTTTTTTGCATTTTGAAAAAAAACCATCAGAGGCTTGGCAAGGGAACTTCCAGGAGGTTTCCAGTTTATTAGCGTCAAGTAGATAAGAACCTGATGTTTGATATTCATCTCAATCGTGTACCTTTCTTACAATTTACTATCCTTTTTACGATCTTTTTCAAGTTCTGAGGTAGCTGTAGGTCTCGATTATTTTTGTGCAGCTTTTTCCTTTGAATCTTTGTCAAAGATTTGTTCAATACTCAACGGTGGTATATCGGGAATCCTTAAATACCTGCATCTCTTCATGTCTTCGTAAAAAGTCATATTTTCTGCCGATTTCTCGCCGGGCATCGGAACTATATTCGGTAATGACTTCGACCTGAAAGTGACAGGTTTAAGTGGGATCAACAACTCTTCGGTCGGTGGTGAGTCGTCGTCACCTGAGTTCGTGCTGCTCTCGCTTCGGTTGGATTCCTTGCTTGCTTTTTGTAGACTTTCGTTGAATCTCTTAACTTTTTCATGGAGGGATTCCGCGCTTTCTTCCACGCGAATGGAAGGGACAACTCCAGCTGAGAATCGTCTTTCCGCGCAGGCTTGTCTGAGAGCAATTTCCTCGTCGTGCAGACGGCTTTGAGCAATTGTCGATCTCCTATGAAGAAGTCGTGGACTTACAGCTCCTGGACGTCCGCAAACAGGATAGGGAGGAGGCTTTGGACCAGCGCTAAGCCTGATGTCTTGTGAGGATTTGGATCTACGCAAACAAACACCTTCAGTCATGATCATCATTTGGCTATGAGGTCTCAACGCAGTTTCTGAGGCTATCAGATCGCTTCTCCGTCGCTGTAATACAGGGCTACGTGTTGGAGATGTGTTCGGGGAAGATGGAGGGGTCGGTGAAATTCTACCATTTGCTTTGAGACTTGGTAAGCTCAGTTTGTTTTTCTCCGTCTCCCAACGCACCATTTCCTTCTGTTTTTGCAAGTCAAGAGCCGCAAGCTTCGAGTTCAGCAGATGGTCTTCCTTTTCGTTTGCGATCACATTGTTAACAAGACGATCTTTTCTACTCCCAACTTTCTTTGCCATTCGCTTGTTCAGATCAAATCAGCTAACAAAAAACCCTTTGACCACTAATAATTGTTCTAGTGAAAAAGGAATTCTATTCGATTAACGTTTACCCGTCAACCGATGAAGACGAATTCATAATTTTAGGTAAACAACCGAAACTAAATATTTGTCCTCGGCAATTGTTATTCAGCGAAGACTGCCAGTTACTGTCAGCTAAAGTGCGACTATGCTTGTTCTTCGAATTACAATCAAGGATTTTAGTCTTAGATTACTGTATAAAGATCATGATTGAAACTCTAAGCGAATCTAAAATCTTTTCACTTTATTTTGTCACAAGCATCCACTGTGCATTTCTGTCAAAAGAGATATCCGCATCAAAGGAAGTTTCTAGGATAAAACAATCAATGGCCGAATGAAATGAGGCAGCGATCTGAAGGGAGGGAAAACTCTGGTCAGATGGTCATTCACTTTATACTCCTGTTAATTTCCCATCAACCATTGCATTGTTCGACAAGAAATTAAAGAGACAAATCAACGTCCGAGTTTCGATTTGAATTTTCTGGTAAATTACGCGCACCTCAGCAGATTTTCTGACCGACTGACCTACTGACTGACTGACTGACTGACTGACTGACTGACTGACTGACTGACCGACTGACTGACAGCCTGACTTACTGACTGACTAACTAGTGGACTGACTAACTGACTCACTGACCGACCGACTAACTGACTAGCCGAATGGCTAACTAAATGACTGACTGATGGACTGGCCAACTGACTTACTGACCGACTGACTGGCTGACTGGCAGACTGTCTAACTGACTGATAGACCGACCGACCGGTCGACCCACCGACTGACTTACTGAAAAAGAAAAATTGGCTGGATGAATGACTGGACTGGCCTATAGTTGACTGACTGACGAAGAAAGTATATTAAACAAAGGAAAGACAAAAACTTGGATAGGTGGGTGAATAGTCAGTTTCAAAATCGATGACAATCAACCAGGTTAAGATCTCTGTCTTTACGACAGAAGTAAGCTCAGATAGTCGACTCCCTGCGTCGATACTCAAACTGCTCTGGAAAACTGTCGTGAAAAGTTGGAGTATCTGTCATCAAATCAGGATCAATTTCGTCCTCGAATCGCACAGTGCGCACGCTCAAATTTGAATCACGTGATTCAACTTCAGGACGCTCACAACATCCATCTGAGTTCCAGGATTTGTGGAGATCACCGTTCGTAAGAACCGATGATATCTTTCTGCTTCTACTTTCTAGATTGTTTTCGTGGTAAGTTACGTTATTCCTCGTTTCTACCTGGCTGCCGCTGAGAGTTGACAAAGAACTTAGCACTGACGTGTTCGACCTGCTACTGATTTTCCTGTCGAGTTGCCCCTCGTCATCGTCAGTATCAAAAGCTCCCAGGCTGACTGTCGATCTGGAGTCCACGTTCTTCTGAGGACGAAACACGATCACGTAAACTTTTGGTAAAAACATACACGTGATCGTGACAGTATCTGCCACGATCAAAAAAGCACTTACAAGAATGTCTTTGTAGTACGTCTTAGTGCCGTAATAGGAAAGGAAAAACATCAGCACATCTGTGGAGATGGTTATCATGTTAAAAGCTATGAAGCGCGCTTCGTTGTAATTCCCGGGAACTTTCCTCGTGAGGAAGGCTTGATACGTGCAAACTAAAACCAAACCGCAATTGAAACCCCACCACAGTGCAATGTTGTAATTAGCAAAGGATGCAAATTTGCATTGAATGAAAGCTTCGTTTTTCGTGTCAGAATAAACGACTTCTGTGAGGTGACCATTGGTAAGCACCAGAATGACGCATATGACTGTTTCCGTGAGAACAAAGCCGATTATGAAGGTTACCATCCATCTGTCGCTCAAACATGGTGGGGTACCTGTAACAAATAAAAGAACTCTTTGTATTCTAAAAAAGGTAAGTATGAATTTGTAATAATCTGTATCAATGGTTTGCCCCAGGATGGAGGAGGGGGAGATAAGCAGCCCCAGAAAAATTTAACAATTCTATGTGATATTCAAATGTCATATTCAGTATGTGTCAAATTCCACTCCTAGGGACCAAAGATCGGTTTCATGTGATCTTTCACGATGGTAGTTAGATCAAATTTCAAACCCTAAAGCAGTGAGTAGATGTCAAAATCTCTACCCAAGGGGGAGTCATTTAAGTCAATTTGCCGTGGGTACCCCACCGTATCCATCCTGAGGCAAACTGTTGATGAGTACTTTAGTCTTAAAAGTATTTTCTATACATCCTCCTCCTCGGTTCTGATTGTGCAAGGAAAATCAATTAGCTTCATAAACTCACCGATCTAACAACCGGTCCTACAACAAAGTGCTAAGAGAAGGAGTAAAAAGCCACGCCGATCTGAGAAAGTTTGAAACACGAAAATAGCTACCGAAGCCTCACTGGTGCTGATCTAAAGGGGATTTGGAGCGCATGATACAAACAATCAGCCTTCTCAAATTTGTCTCGATGTTATTGTAAAGACTATCAAGCCTATTAGGTTAAACCGAAGAAAAAAAGGACAAGGAAAAAGGAAGTTATATAACATACCTTTCCTCATTGCATTTTTACTAAATATCCGATGTATCCGATTTGTCTTAATCAGTAATGTTCCCACCACGATACAGAACCCGATACTTAACAAAAACAGCACGACTTGGCATAGAGTTTTTGTTCTTTCCAGCAAAATCAAAACAGCCGCCAAATAACCCAAAGATATTCCAAAAAGCATGATATAGCTAAGGACTTTGCTGGACGCACGGACCACGTGTGTATTACCATGGCGAAAGAAAACAATCGTGATAGACAACACGCCCAGACCACCTAACGCTGCAACCACGCCAACCGATATACCGGCTGGGTCACTCAGCTTGACGGTAGTTGGAATTATGGGTAAACAGGCAGTGCGGTTCGCGTTTGGCCAATAGCGAGGAGGACAGCGCTTACATGAGCCGTTCACAGGATTGTGAGAAATCTCATTGGTGGAGCATGGGGCACACTTCCAACAGCAGCTCTGAGAGAAAGGAAATCAAAAAAGGTTTTTTTTACCATAGTGTGAAGAATTCCGTTATGTTGGCCTGCCAATAAAATGTACATATAAATGATTTGGCTATAACAAAAATCAGACAAATTCAGCAAATGATAAAGATATCGAATTGAGAAGGGAACAGCCAGAAAAGAAAGTGAATGAAGTATTTCATTATCTTTCTCTTCTCTGCCAAAAAGCCCGATGAAACTGGTTGAAACACGCTAAAGCCGGTTGAAATGGTACTGAATGACAGACCTGGTAACGTTCATCTGAAACCATCCAATGTCCTGGTGGGCATTGCTGACCGCAAAATGAAGTGGGCTCAACGGTGCTGTTAAATACCTTTCTCCATAACGTTCTCAGTTTTGTCAAGTCCAAGTCAAGAAATGACACATTCACGGGTAGATCAAGCACGTTGGACGTATTAGAGACCCAGCTCCCGATTGGTTCCCATTGTTCCGTCTCTGTGTTGACCACCGTGATGTCATAAGCACCCAAGCCGTTGCCATTAGCGTCGAAAGAAACTTGATCGCGTGACAAGCCTGGGAACTTGACATTTTGAATGCTTTTGAGAAAACCGTCGTCCCTACAACAATAAAAGGTTGAGTTAACAGTTATATGCCGAATAATTGAGAATAATGGATCGGTCTTTATCTATTGCCTTAGTGGGATTTTGCAGGAATCGTATGGTTTTCAGGGGGAACTGGCCGGGGAAAGGTCGTCGCTAACAGAATATAACGGAGGGACTTCACAAAATTACCTTCCGATAAGGACGGATCATGAGAATGCTATAAAGCCTTAGAGGAGGAGGGGGGGAATGAAACAGGTGAGTTAAATTTGTGACACAGCCAAAACCTTACGAGTCTCCCGACGATGAATAACAACTTGCTCCTTGGAAGACGTTCTCTTTCGCTGTCACAAACGATCAGAAACAGCGAAATTTTACTAAAAAGAACTGTTTACTAAGACCAGACCTAAGACCTAAGACCTAAGACCTAAGACCTAAGACCAGTGCGATTGGATTTTCAAACGTTTTGTGCTGTGGGCAATGCTACTACATCAAAAAAGGTCTTTCATAGCGTTAGAAAATTTTACGAAATTAATATCCCATTATAAATGTCGCTTTGGTGAAAAACATGAATTATTATAAAACCGTTTCAAATCAATTACTTTTCCAAATCATCAATTTGTCTGTCGCTTTTCTTTAACATACCTAGATGACGTTTTCGGTAAAAAGAAAATTTATTTCGATGGCAGACCGATTAAAACCTGCAACAAATGGTCAGGAAATTTGCGCTTTGAACAAAAGAAAGCGATACGCCAACTAAACTGATTGCTGCAGGAGAATAACATGAAAACCAATAAATTTTACATTTTAGTTGCCCTAAAGTGTTATTTGGTCAGCGATGATAACAGCTGCTCATTGTTTGTGTAAGCTATAAAATTTACATATGATTTGGAAAGGAAAACGTATCACACAGCTAAATTCACAGACAGGTTTTATCATTACAGCTGTGTACAAGTTGCTCATAACTATTGTCGAGTTTTTTCAAAAACTTGGCTAACACATTCGAATGTAATTTATATTACTTCGTTGAGATCTGTGTTTGTTTGTAAATTCAGAATGTCCAAAAAAGGCAGCTGAAGGATTGATATGGAAACGTTTTTCATGAGCATTAATGCAACCCAAAGGTAAACATTATACCAACTAGAAAGTTCTTCACACATTGCTGTTTGCAGTGGCGGCACCGCTAGAAGGCTCTCTACTTTTTAAACTTAATTCATTGTCTGTTTTTCCAAAGTTATCTCAATCAGTCCTTATTCCAATCTCTTCCTTACGGGTTTTAAAAGGAAAGGTTCACCTCTTTTCCTGCGATAAAAAAGGAAATTCGACAGAATAAACAATATTATCATCTTTAAAGATTCCATTTTGTTTTTCTAATGTGAGAATTTTAATTATGTGAACTTAGGGAGTAGTTGGCTCCAACGTGTGATTGTTTTAGTGCTGCTTTTTGGCTCAAAAAGGTTTCAGGCACTATTGATAGCTCTAGCCAATATATTCCAGCTACACGGCAAACTTAATAATGCATACATAGTATCGCGTTGTAAACTATGTTTATAAAATTTCGTCAAAAGTCGCTTCGAATTTTTAACCAAATTTTATAATATTGAAGGTATCGGTTAATTAACAAGCAACGTTCATTTATAACATGCAAATATTCCAGACCGGAGCAGTGCGGAGACAGGTAATTTAAACAAAGGAACGTTTTTAAGTTTCGCCATTCAAAAATTATCAATTGGAAGTGATCAATGCTCATGTGTAAAGTTCTTTCGTTTAAAGAGTTTCCTTTCGTTATGATAGACTAGGGCATTTCTAAGTTTTAAAGCATATTTTCTTTCGATAACTAAATCATTTTGACTGAATAAACTTAAACAGCGGACTAACGCGCACACAATTTAAAATGTCACGGGTTACCAACCGGAAAAAAATATGGAAATGTTTTCTCTTAAGTGAAAATCATTTTAAAATCGAGGCTAACTGATCCTGTTGTTTTACCAAGTAACACACTTTCCCTCAGTTGATTATGAGCCAGTCCCAGCACTTACCCACAAGCTAGGATGACTAATTCTAGGTATTCCCGCATAATATCTGAAGTCAAAAACTTCAAAGATCTCTTCACTGTTTACCTGCTCAAACTCGGAAATTCGTCGGCGGAATATTGGCAGCTTTTCTCTCGTGTGCAATTCAAAAGGTTGTGTAGACCATAGGCCGTTGCATACACCGCATCAATAACATAGGGAACATACGTGGATATTTCTACAGAGAGGTTCAAATAATGTTGTTTAAACTCGTGAAACCATGGACATTGGCTCAGTTTCCCTGTTTTTAATATCTTTTGAAAAAAGTTTTCGAAGCCTTTTGTGTTTCCCTTACGTGGTGTTACGCCAACAATGCGTCGCAACATTTGGGGTGAACTGTTAAACCTGTTTATACGTCCAGCATAATGGTCGGTTGCAATAAAAACATAATCCTTCATGTTGAGTTTTTTGAAATGGCTCAAGATAAACTCTGTGTCTCCGATTGTCGTAAAAAGAAGCACCACTTTAGCTTTCGCGTTTTGCTTCTCTTGCATTTCCGTGAGGAAAGCCACGATTTCGTGAGAGTTTGCATGTTGTGTAAATGTTCTTTTCACTGCCAGACAAATTTTCGTGCCAGTGGAAGCTGAGAGAACATGATCAAAAGTCTCGAATGCAGATCGCCCATAGTCTGTGTCTGAATACAAAACGTGGACAAAATTCCAATTTAACTCACGTAAGAAATCGATGACAGCTCTTGCCATCAGGGTGTCGGAAGAAACCGTGCGAAGGAAATATTTGAAACGAATTCTATTGCTAAGGAGTCTACTCGAAGAGGAATAGCTCACAACAGGGACATAAAACAGGCCTGCGAGATTGGCAACCGCCATTGCCACATCGGTGGAGCCCAGACCAACGATGGCGACTGTTCTCGGATTGTGAACGACATCTGGGTCTTGTTTTTTCTCGCACATCGTATCCTCCATGTTATTCCTGATAAAACTAAAATTCAAACACTTCCTGATCGCAAATTCAACGCTGCTACATGTGTCCTTAATGTCTGCACCAATGGTGATACCAGGAAGAATCCTCGAGTCGTTGTTGATTCGCTTAATAGCATACAACATGGCCAGGGCTTCCTCGAAGCCACGGGTGTTGAACTTCCCTTGGCACTGCTTTGATGTGCTGGTGTTCTGCGGAGCGTAATGTATATGGAACAAACCCGAAAAAATTAGGCTCCCATTTATGTAAAATTCGTTATGTTTACAAGTTGCGTTTGCAAGATGAGATCCCATTTTGCCTGTGGCTAATGGCAGTGTAAAGAAAGACAATTGAACGAGAAAGTACACCAAGTATAAAAGGACGCACAAGTGTCTCATCTTAGAAATGAATCTCAAAATAGCCAGATATTGTCAAGCTACGTCGTACGTGGTTCAGAAGATAGAGGTCAAACTGAAGTTTCTGGTGTACTCAGTTCGCCAGGTGTTAAAACATCCAGCAACATTATCTCAACCAAATTGACAGCGATAAGCCTTTTAAAAGATCTGGCTTCTTATTGGTTGGATATATTTCAAGTTCTTTGATATTGAATCATGAGTTTAAATCCAAAAAAGGAAATTTTCCTCTTTGTTGTGGCAACTTTTTGGTTAAATTAATGACGACTTTGGCTACAAGTGACAAGTAAGTTGACGGTCACACTGACAAGGATTCAAATGGAAATTATGGCTCCTAATTTACGAGCGACCACAAACGATGTCCCTTTTAGACAACTACCTGAGATGGGCACGCGATTCAGTTGACCCTGTGAATTTAGTATGAGAACAAACACAAACATCTCCCAGTGAAAACCATTACTTGTTTTCCAAGGCTTAGTAAAATGGTTATCAAATTTTTACTTGGCCGTTTTAATTGCTTTTTTCATTGGTCAATGTTGTCCTTCCTTTCAAAGAAAAACAAATGATGCACCTCATTTGTTTACTCAAGTTAATGTTATGCCGCAGTTCAACTTGACAAAAACAAAATATCTCTGGAACAGCTGTTTTTAGGCAAATTTTTTGATTAAAACTTCAGCATGATTGTCAGTCATTTGATGGAGTAATAAAAAATGATAATTAAAATGGCACTTTCTATTCCCACTTGTTCGGAAACAATTAGTTTACCTTGTAAGTTCTTTCTCTATTACATCACTCACAGCAAAAACAACTCCACCTAAAAATTTGAGTCACAAGACATAGAAACGTATTTACTTTATTTTTAAAATGAACAACGAACCCTTTTTCCCCTCGTGCGAATTTCACATGTTATTGTTTATTCACATTTTTATAGAAAAAATTGATCTGAGCTTTGTATTTATTTTTCCGAACGAAACAATTAAACGGAAAAAAAGACTTATCCAGAATGGCCTCAACTTTTTGATAGATTTTCCTGAATACGATATAAACTATTGTGACTATTTTGATGTCCATCGAGTGTAAAGGGAATCATCTCCTGCGAGTGATTTCAGTCAAGATCACCTCGCGTTACAAACAGTTAATTAGGTTAACAGCGAAAAGGTTTTCAATGTTTCCAAATGCAAAATAAAAAATGAAATTTATAAGCGCGGTAAATGATCATTTAGGAGAGTATCTTGTTAAATATCTTATGCTATCGATATGCCCGCTTCCTTCCCTAGTGATGGCCAGAGCATTCTGGGAACGAAGTTGAGTATGGCGTTGATAGCGCGTTTGATATAAAGAAAGCGAGACTCCGTTCGTTTTACTTTATTACACGTTTTGGTTGGTCAAGAAGACTCGTGTCTCATTCTCAACCTGTAGGATGCAAAACTTAAACCTGTGATGACTTAATGACTTGCGTTTCCCGGCAATTTTGAGGAGTTTTGACCCTTTAACCCCTTAAGGTGATAAATATCTCAATCCTCCCAACAGCATCACCCCTGAATCAAACATCAGGGCTAAGAGAATATAGGGAGAGGTCGCCAATAAAAGAAGCACCTGATTATTGAATAAATTCTCCTTGTAGGTAACATAGGAAAAGTATGGAGAACTTGCATACTGATGTTAGGGTGTAAATGGTTTATCGAATTGTACATCACTTGGCATCGCTTGAGAGCTAAAGATGATGACCGAGAGGGATGATGCAGGCTGGAGCATAGCCACACGATGGAATTCATCGTCACGTTACTACTCCATATCCTTCCTTTTCCTTCATATTTTCTCAGTCACCTGGAGAATGTTACAGATGAAAGTTATGATACACAAAGGAAATTGGCTTCAAATCACATTGAAATTGAGGGGCTGTATGTATATGCGTTATGCTTAGCAACTCTACCCTTTCCCTCGAGCGAAAATTATTATTTTCTTGTCAATCCAGCTGAAACAATCACAATCGACCACTTCGCAGTGACGAAAAGAAAAGAAAACAGAAAAATGGAGCTTGGCAATGTGATAATGACAGTGATTAGAGATCAACTCATGGCTACTCATCCAATCAAGGAGCTGCAATCTCAGAAAACTGAGCTTGCGTGAGGTGGAGCCTGGCGAAAATTCCAGGAAAATCCTTGAAAATTAATCCCTCTATCTTTTTTCTCCTTCTTCCTCTCCCTCTTTTTTCTTTTTTTTTTTTTTTTTTCTTTTTTGCGTTCACTGACAGTTTGGAAATCCACTGTACCCTTTTGAACCGAAACGACCCGGTCCCAATCCATCCTGATGCTGATCGAGCCCCCGATCTTCTTATGTTGGTCAGCAGTTTTACCCCAAACAGTAAGGTTTCGGAGGTAGTCAGTTGAGTATCCTCCGGGCAAACAAATTTATCCTTCAGTACAAGATATCACTACAAACAGCGGATGTAATGCTAGAAGGAGTCTTTTTACACGATCAATGAGGTGTTTTATGCATACTCCACACACAGTTAGCCATGGCGTTTCCTGTTGGTTCATCAGGTATTTTGAGTACCCTAGACCCAGATCTTATCGAGGACGGCAGAGCTGACATCTACAAATGGAGTGAAACTAGGCGGTCCAAGAGAAAAGGATTTAAAGGGAAACTCTACCAGTTTAAGAAATTGTTCATTGACAAAAGTGTAAGCAGAATTTTTTATTTGTTTTCAAGCTCTTCGATTCATAGGCAACTGAATTACCTGCCTGAACAAGTCAGTTGTATTGCTATATTAAATTGCATTTTCGAATCTGTTCAAAATTATTTCATTTTGCAGATTTTACGTACTTTTGTATACAACCTTACAGTTATCCTTTTTCTACAAATGGTTTTAGCAGGTGAGGATAAATCCTAGAGACAATTTTCTCTTGTTTTCATCGTCATTCCTGAATGTTACCATGTTAATTGTGTGTATATGATTTGTATATGTGTGTATATGATTTGTATATGATTTATATGATCCTTAAAACACTTAAGTGTGTTTATGTCTACGTTATGCATGAAATGAACAAAGAAATAAATAAACGAACTAGAATGTACAAGTCATCTTTTAATCATCCCCCTAACAGAGCCTGATTCATAAAGATGATAAATCAATTATTTATGAGATCATGAAACAATCATAGTTCTTGAAGAGTAAGGAAAGATTTCTGTAAAGCCCTAAACTATTTTACAACAAAGTTGTAGTCCCTCAGGCAATCTATTGTTTCCACCACTGTTTTCTTTATCCAAGAACTCCAAGTATAATGAAGTATAGGGCTGTGCAGAAATCTCAGGAGTAATTGCAATGAAATTCTTGTTTCTATGTCATACTGACCTAAATAACTATATCCTGACCCAGAGGGGGAAAAAATTCCTACCTCTTATGAGGAATGGCCTCTCAGGAAGACCAAGAACTCCAAGCCTACTCATCAGCCAGGTGGCCCACTTAGTTAGAACTGATCCTGGTGACTGAGGTGACTAGGGGTATTGCAACTCCCCCTCCCCCTCCCCCCCTTTTCCTGGTGGAGAAATTAGCAAATTTCAGGTTACTTCCTGGAATTTCATCAGGTCTCCCAACCTATTCACCATTGCAAATTTATATACCTGGGTGAAGAGGTACTGTATTGTTGAGTGTGAAATTTTTGTATCCAAATAACGATTACAGATTTAATTTCTCATGTGTACACAAGATTTTCTATTGATTTTAAAGTTGTTCTTTTTCCTTTATCAGCACTTGGAACATTTATGTGTCAGAAGTTAAGTAAGTATGCAACAAAATTTGTTGGTCAATTTAAAAGGAAAAAAAAACAGGTCCTTCAAGTTCATGTTAGTATCCTTTGGGCATCTAGTTTCTCACTCACTTTTTTTTGTTTTTTCAATTTGTAGGACTTGATTTTGATGTGCACATGAGTATTTTTGTGTCACCAATTGTGTTCCCTTTGGCCTTTTCCATTAATGGTATGATGCAAGAATATTTCATTGAAGAAACGTAAAATGGTTTCTGTGTTTGCATAGCCTGATGTAAACACGCGGGAGGTTGGGAGAACACAAAATAAACATAGGAAACCACGACGTGAAGCGGAGTGGTTTCCAGCTTATCTCGTGTTCTCCCAACCTCCCAAGTGTTTACATCAGGCTATGTAAACACGGAAACCATTTTACATTTCTTTTATAAAATAACTAATGAAAGAGCCTCCTCTTTCAATGAAGGAAAGCGAGGTGCTTGTTGTTGTTGTTCATTTGACTTTTCGGCTGTTTCTTGAATACTGGGAAAATTAAACTCCAAAGAAAAATTGGGAAAATCTTCTTCCTTCCATTACTGTACTCAAACAAACTTAAAGAAACTGAGTTACTGCTAAATAAATAGCAGGGAGAACTCCGTGAGAAGATTCAGTATGAAAACTGTGTTTACATACGTTCATGTAAAATGGTTTTATGGCCAATCAGAGCGTGCGTACTATTTGAATTATTCTATAAACGGCACTCTCATGCAAACCAAGCAGTGTCCATACTGATATCCTTAACTTAAATCATGAAACATTCCCTTGGTACCAGCATAGATTAAAACGAGAATCAAAATAAATCACATTATGGTTTAAGTCCCTCTGACCCCTAAGAGTGACTAGCATCTAATTTCTCTTTACATTATGCCCCTGAATCACACATACAGGTTATGAGAATCTAAGAATATAATCACCAATTAAAGAAGCTCTTGGTTGTTTAACAAATTCTCCTTGTCACCTCTGGAAGTGTATAGAGAACATTAGTAGAATATACATACTCATGCTTTGATGAAAGGGTTAAGCATCTATGTATTTATTTTCTAGCTATTCAGTTACAAGTTTACAATGGTATACTAATAATCAGTGATGCAATTAACATTAAAATCAGAAGGTTTGAGATTCAAATCTGAGTAGGGACTCAGAATTTTTTCTTTGTGGCGCTATTGAGACATATTTTGACATCTTTCCTCTACGCTTCCTTTCATTTCTGTTAGCTGATTTCCAGCGGCGTGAGAGAGTACTTGAAGATCTAGCACAGTTTAAAGGTGCTCTGTTGATATTGTTTTTTTGCCATAGGGACTGGCTTCATTCAGCAGGTAATATTTCTCAGTGCTTTAAGCAAGTGTTGTTTTTTTTAGAAAGGATCAGTATGATGGACACTTTTAATACTGGTAAAATTTATCTAAGTAACAATTTGATCAGTGGTTAGCTAAAATTACAGCTATTTTTCATATCTGTCATTGATAGTAGAGGAATGATTTACTGTAATCATTGTATCCCTAGAGTAGTTAGTTGGTTACTTCGGAAATGGAGAAAGTTTAGTAAAACACTCAGAGAGAGGTTTAGTGCTCTTATCAACGATGTGCTGCTCTAACAAACGGTCAAAATTTTAGTTCTCTCTCACTTGGTTTCTCACATTCTCAAGTTCTGCAACATAGTTGCCAATTGAAGATAGTTATGTATGAAAGTGGATCCACTTGCTAAAACTATTTTAGATGATAATTAAATCCCAGTAAATTTAAGCTCTAAGAATTAGCATGATTATATTTTTTTAAAAAAAGCATCCTTTTCAATTGTGTGGAGGTGTAACAGGCTGTAAAAATGATTTTAAGAGAGTCATAATTTTTAAGACCAACAGTATTTTAAAATGCCATTGGTGTGTTAGCTTTTAGTGATGGTCTTTTAATTGTTTACATTCATTAACTGTAATTTCAGGTTTACCGAAAGAGTTTTTGAAAACTGTAAATAACAAGTTGAAAGGTCTGGTATTGAATATCAAAGAATTTTTGTTAACTGAAAAACATATCAGGAGGAACTTTATTCTCTCAGTAAGTTATGTTTGTCTATTACTTTTAACTTTAGAAAGTGTGAATTATTCTTTAATTGGTGGTAATTCATTGTCTATGTCTTATGCCACCAAGTGTTACGAGTGTCGATGTAGAGCAGGGTTGTTCCTAGACAAAACTCAGAATCGTCGGTAACAACAACAAACTGTTTTATTTCCGCGTAGTTGACTTCTTGTTTTTATAGCACTAAGCTTCCTCGCAAATCTCTCTCTCTGTTCGATGGAACTGTCGCTCTTATATACATAAAGTATTAGGATCTAGAAACTTCTCTAAAGAACTAAATTTAGTAGATTAACACGGTTTCTAAATTTGAATAATTGTGTAAGAAATAGAACGTTCCAGAATGTTCTTTTTACCAGAAGGTCACGTCTAGATGACTTCGGGTTCTAGAATGTTCTATTAGAATGTTCTGGGACTTTACTTAGACAATTTTTCGTAACACCAAGATTAAGACATTTTTCAGAGCTCTAAAAAGGAAATTTTTGGCAGTGTATAGCTATTTTCATTCATTCTTGTCCTTGGATTTATGTTGAATAATAGTCACTTTGGTCACAATGTCTAACATTTTGAAACAAAATGGAGCTTTGTACAGTATCTCAAAGTGAGCTCAGGTTTGATTTTCCTCTTGATGATTATGGACTCTTTGTTAAAGAGTTTGATTCTCTTTTGGTTGATCTTATGTCTGACCTTGCACAGCATCAAGCTACAGGTCTTGGTGGTCAAGTGACAGTTTGTTTTGTATGGCATAGATTATGAAAGGAGTGTGTGGTATAAATCCCTTAGTGACTTTCAATGGAACATCTCTTTCTCCTTCTAGTTAACAAGGAAATGTAAGAAAACTTGGAAGGGGAAGTAAGCAGTCCATCAGAAGTCTCTTAGTGGCTTTACCCTGCAATGCTTCAATTGTATTCTGAAAATCTCCGTCCTTGGGACAAAATTTTTTACAAGCTGCATCAATTCAAACCAATATGATTTCAGCAGGAAATAGGGAAGAATTGTATCTCACAGATTTCAAAGTTCCCAAAGTTCTAGAGATCCATTCCTTTCTCTCATTTTTTCTTGTCACTAAACATTCGGGGGATTTCATGGGCAGTGATTGCTCATAAATATTTTCCCTTATTTCCCTGGGGCACTTCCATTAGGCTTGCATGTGCATGTGTCATCTTTTTCTTCTGTCACAAGTGCTGATGCAAGTGTTGGTGGCTAATGAACATATCAAGGAGACAGTGAAACAAAGCATGACATTTCAAGCTGACATAATAAGGTTAAATGACGTATTTGTCGGCTATATTGAACTAGAGCTTATTTACATGTGTAAATTTCAGGTTATTTATGAGGATTTAAGTGACATAAGCCAGCTGAATGACAAGATGAGAGTCTCAAGTTTGCCACACAATGAACCTTTAATAACCAGACTAATTCACTATCACAAGTAAGTCTTTGAAAAATAAATAGTAACACTGTTTCTCGCATAGAAGTATTGACAACTTACAAATTCAACATCATTGATAGTCTTTTAATAAGTTTAAGAGAATCACAGAGCTTTGTGGGGAAGTTTGTTCATTGGTTTCATTTTGATTAAGTAACAGGACTTTAACCAATCAGACTCTCACTACGCAGCTGTTCAATTTCGAAATCTCTCGTATAATTACAGTTAAAGTTGCATTCCATGCAGTCCAATTACCTTTATCACTAACAATCCACAGTGTCCAATCAGGTCTCAAATTAGATTACAGATGTCCATCACGTTCTAGAAATTTCTTACAGGTTGGACTAAATGAGGCCTCTTCTTACATATTAATTCCAGCTTTACTATTTAATGCATAATGAATTTTCTCACTTGTGGTACACTTTCAACTTACGATCCTAAGCCTCATGTGTCACGCATTTGAAAGACTGCGCGTAATCAGGGAATACCGATCGCCACGGACCATCCGCTCCTTCACCAAAGTGTTTATCTTCCTTATGCCCATCGTTCTCTCTCCGTACTATGTTCATATGGGTATCAAGTCGGGTAACACATGGAGCCCGTATTACATTGCTGTGCTGACATCGTTCATATTTGGAACATTACAAGGAGTTCAAGATGTCTTAGATGATCCATTTGACGGTATTAGTGAGGATGATATTAACCTTGGACCGGTAAGAAAGTCAGTTCAGGTTTTTTTGGGGGGGCGTTCCCCGCTGTTTGAGGTATTCATAGAGCAATTCTTATGTTATTGTCGAAATAAAGTTGTACGTTGTTTTGCTTTTACTTTACTCCATGATTGGTTTAAAAAACTTCCACCACCCTCTCAACCAATCAGACGCAAAACCAATTACGTAACGTAAACTTCCACCACCCTCTCAACCAATCAGACGCAAAACCAATTACGTAACGTAAACTTCCACCACCCTCTCAACCAATCAGACGCAAAACCAATTACGTAACGTAATCGTCAGTCGTGTTTCACTTAGTTTACTTATTTTAGTTCGAGTTCTCATGGTTTTTTTCATGTGATCTTTTTCTTTTTTTCCGATTGGCTTTTGGGATTACTTCGGTTTTGGTATTACATGTTCGTGAGGACACTAGAAATCGTGCTATCCTTCAGAGATCTTGGGTTTGTCTCACAATTAGGAATTAAGGGTTAAGCCAAAGAATACAAATCTCCTGCTTTGTTTTGTGTTTTATTTGTTTTTAATTTGTTTGTCTTTTTATTCAAGGGATATAGAGGTTAAACGGGTATTATTATAGAATAATTTGGTTTTATCAAATGGAGTTGATGATGTAAATTGGCCACCGTTAAGATTTTATATAGCTTACGTTTCGTTCGCCCTTAATATTCTAATCTTTCTCCTTTTCGATTAGCTGGAAGACTGGACGTGTCAATCGCTCCTCACAGATAGAACAATTACAGTCGGCCGCTTTACAGTGACAACAAAAGGACAGGAGGGCAGGAAAATGGAGTATAGTGATATTGATGAGGACGAGGGACGAAGTCCCATGCCCTCTCATCCCGTCAAGGTGCCACATAAACGAAAGTCTATCCTGAGAAAACCGAGCTTCCGTAAAGAGGAGCACTTTGAAAACTGTGCTCAGGCCCATCGAACAGCTCCCCTCTATCCAGCAGCCGCTTCTCGCATAGAGGATCTGACCCGCCGTGGGCTCACCGGAAGCACCACGATTCTTCCGGGGATGAAGTTAAAGAGATCTAACAGTGATACCTTAACGGCGAACGCCTCGAGCGCGTCGCTTGGCCAGGAGTTTTGTAGAGCTCAAGAAGCAGACGGAAGTGGACGGGATTCAAAGAGGGTGACGTTCTTGACCGAAAGTCGGGATTTGTATGATGGCGACGATGAATCTGAACACGATAACAGCGTTTTTAGTTTCAACCAGGAGCCTCTCTGATCCGCCAAAATATTCGCGACCAACTTGGATGTCAGATGAGAGCGAACCGTTGATCTTGCTGGACAGCAGGTCTGGTTATTCCGACATGGGAACTAGTGCTCTTAACACACCTGATAGGGAGAGAAAGAACCTTGGTTTAGATTTCTACGAAGGACTTAATAAGTCTCCTGGTACAAGCTTAGTCGATGCTCGTAAGGTTAAAAAACATAGCAATCCACCTCTGGCGAATTTGTTTTCGGTAAATTCGGTTGAGTCAGCTGATTGTGCTGACGGACCAGTTCCTCCTAAGCCAAGCCAACCAATATCAATGCCTTCATCCTTACAAAACTTATTTGGTCCACCCCAAAATCAGAAGCTAGAGAAACCCTCCTCTGGTAGCAAGTCATTTTCCTCTGAAAGACCACGCCCGTTCGCTCTTCCGATGTCTCCCTTAGCACGTGAAGAGAGTTCATCTAATTCTCGTTCTTTTCCTGCACCTCGGGTCAGCCGCTCGGCTCCATGTTCACCAGAGCAAGAAAGACGGAACACCCTCCGACAAATTTCCGATCCAGTGACCCCTTCACCTGAAAATGCAGCCGTGCTTCCTTCAAAACCAGGAACTCGCCAGCGGAAAACGTCAGCAAATATTCCGCTCTCGAAAAATTCCAGCGATTCACCATCTGGAAATTCCAGATTTGCGGTCGATACCACATCACGGACTCCTACGGTGCAAGAAGCGGAGTCATTGTTGTCACCTTCCAGAAGAAAATCGTCATCCGGAAGTTCAAGATTGTTGGTTAGCTCTGATCCGCAGGCCCCTGCGGTAAACAGTTCAGCGCAAGTTGCTCAGGCTCCTTTGGCAGATGAAAATTTTTCAATTGAAACCCCGGCACCTTCTAAACCTGTAAATACGCCGATATCGAGGGTGAGTGTTTTTCAGTCTGCCTTAAAATGACGCATCGACCGCTTCAGCGGTCGGTTGTCGTGCCGAACATTGGTGCTCATTCTCCCGCAAACTCGAAGGAACTCGTAATTTGGGACCGTTCATCAGTTATCGCCTGAGGGATTGGGAAATGTTGGTTGTATCATGACAAAATTTACCTGACTCTCCCAGAAGGCTTTGCAGTACTCCTATAATCCTCACTCATTGGTAGTTACTGACAGTCGATTTTCTATAGTCACCCCTTGGTACTCTCCCTCCGTTCCTCCTGAAAACACTGCATCCCCCCCCAAAAAAAAATACTCCGTTCCCTCCCCCCCCTCCCTTTCAGGGAAAAGTATTGACCATTCCCTAATAAATTTTGGTCACCTTCTGTAAGTCTTAGGTTATTTTAAATGAGGTCTCCTGATGGCCTAGAATTCTCAAAAGTACAGAAACTATCGTCAGAAATATTGGTAAGGGGGACTTTCGAATCCTAATTTCAGTGAGGCGCACTTAGGAACTGAAAAACTTCCTCAAAATGTAGACTCACGTCAATCTTTCAGTCCTATGATCAGGAAGTTTATTCTCCTAAGTGATGGTTATACAATTCTTTATTGTATACTCAGGAGAATCTGGCGTTATATCATTATAATGTCGCCCAGATGGTAATTTTCTCAATTCTCATTACTCGCTCTCCTGGGAGTGAAACGGTTTGCTCTTGTTCGTCGTCATTAGAAATGTGGTTCTTTCCAGTATTGAACTGTATGCAGTATGCAAATTCTCCATACTGTACTCTATACATTTCCTAATTAAAGGAGAATTTGTTTAAGAATCAAGAGCTTCTTTAATTTGAGATCATTTCCTTTATTCTCATGGCCTTTATGTGTGATTCAGGGGTGATATTTTAAGGAGAAATTAGATGCTAGTCAGCTTATGGTTGCTGCTCCAAGGGTCAAGGGGTTACCTGTTTCAGGTATGATTTTTACATATCCCTCTAGGATTAGGAAGTGGGATAAAGGATTAAACATTATCCAGAAACTATGCCACTGATAATATTCTTTTCCTTTGCAGTTCAATGTTGCAAAACGATCAAACAGTGTTATTGATTCTGAGAGAGAAGACAAACCCCTTGTGTCGTCGAATATCCCAAATTACGGGTTGACGGACTCCTCCCCTCCTCCGTCAAGATTCAAAGTAAACTGTCCACAAAAAATATCACAAGAGACTAAGCAACAGAGCGAGGATGAAGAGGAACCGGATTCGTTTCAACTCTTAACTGTTGATGGTGGTAGTACCGAGGTTTTCATTTAGTACCGTAAGGAGTCTGGTACTAGTCAAACGAGAGATAAGGGCCCAGTCTAAGTTCTTGGATTGGGATCAAAATATACGGCAAGGCCTAGGTCGGAGATCCAACGAAAGTTTTGTTAAACGCTGATCTTGAATTCTTTCAAGAGGATGATAACGTGCTTCGTTTCCCAGTGTAGAGGGAAAAATTTCTCAGTGACCTCTGATTCCTCAAAGTCGTGCGATTGCACTGTTTACTCATCACAGGGGTGAACTGAAAGTTTTTTTCTTTCTTCTCCCTTACCTCCCTTACCTCCCCCCGTGGGGAGGTTCATTAGAGCGTTAAAGACATTTCACCACAGGCATTGATTCAGGTTGAAATCACTCGGAGATAGTTATAATAATTACCGGAAGTCATCAGTTATTTTGTTCACGAAAGTTTTTTTAAATGAAATTGTTGCCAAACCTGATTTGGGATATTGTGATATTCTTTTGAGAGGTTTATTTGGCCAAAAGCTGTGAGATGACTGTGGCATCAGCTGATGTTAAATAGTTACGAATGCAAATTCCAGTCAGATGTTCATGCAGACATGTTTTCCCTTTTTAGGAGTCCAATAAGAGCAATATAGGAGATATTTTTTTGTACTTAAGCTTTTCCAAACTATTTTCTTAACTTCTTCGAGAAGGTGGCTATTTCGGCTTGAAGTTGTAATAAAACGTAAAGCTAAAAGTTAACCCGGTCATCTGTAAAGGTATTCAATCTACGGCCATCTTGTTCCTATGGCGACTGGAAGAAACATCGGCATGTAGCGAGAAATGTCGATATCTCTGATTACTAATCATTTTGCAAAATGATACTTCCTCGAAATTTCATGATGAAGGATTTTGAAGTAATCCCATAAATTGTCCGAATTTCATGCCATGGGAAAAATCCCAGGGTTAGGTCCTTTTAGGAAAAGTAACCCCAAGCTTAGATGACTCAAGTGTAGGTCCGCAATGATTAAAATGCCCGAAGGAAAATATAAAATTTGCGACTACTGTAGGGACAGATGATTATTTATTGCCGGAGGGGGGAGGGGGGGATGGCGGATTTTGTTAGTGTCACGATAAAGTTCAGCTGATCCTTCATTTGGCTCTGTGATGCTCTGATGAACCCCACTCTCCCTCTCTCCTTTTATTGGCAGTCTAAGTTGGCGACGACTGATCCCCCTCTGCCCCCCTCCCAAAAAAGAATCCTCAACCTCAATCTTCCACCCTCCCCACCGGGTGATAAATAATGACTCGTCCCGTTGTTACATGACACAAATTAGTATCGATACTTCGACGGAGGAAGCCGGGCTCCTCTGGATTTGATCTTCAAGTACACACAGAGAGCTCATTTGCTGCGTGTTACAATGCGACCAACTGGCCGTGATTTCTGATTTACACCTTCCTCGTTACGTGCATCCAATTGTCAATCCTTTGCACTGTCCACCCTCTAATTCTTATTATTTCAGCACCAAGAAGTTGGTCCTATATTTATTCAAAGTCGTATTCTTTTTTTATATAAAAATACTTCTATGATCGCTCTCGGTAATGACGAGGTTTATCTTAGAAGCAATATTCATTCTAAATGAATTAATGACAATTAGCGTTGCAACAGCATTGTGGAGGCATGTTTGAATCAATTAACGGAACCGTCGGTGCATTTGAGACTTGAACAGAATTTAATCATTAACAAGTTTTGTTTGATTATAGAACAATAAGCAATTGACACACCTCCAAATAGGAGCAGATTAATTCTTGTCCTGTCAAACAAGAAGCAGTGTTTATTTTCCGCTTGGAAGACGTTGGTTTTCGCTCATTCGGCCGCAACTTTTTACGTCGTTCAGTGACAAACAAGAACTTGAACTGTTGGGTTTCTCTCTACCGCTTTCGTTGGAAAAAAACTTTGGCTCTTGATTTTGAAGGTAAGTTTCTTTGTTCTTCTCTACGGGGTAACGACAAAGGAATTTAACTCAATATAAAATTCACCACAGTATTCGTACGTTTCTTTGGCGTTCTTGTGGTCATGTCGGCTCAGAGAATGAAAATGTTGTGTTCCATCATGCATGCGTTAGAGCTCGGAGACAACTTATATACCGTCTATCACTAAATTACCGTCCTGTCATTTTTTTTTTTTTAGTTTAGTTTAAGTGAAATCTTAGATAAGCTGAAGTGTCAATAGCTTTTGTATTCATACCGGAGTTGCTACGAACTGAATTTAAGAAATGAGGCTTAAAAACTTGGCTCTTTTTTTATCGTAAGGTCAAACAGAAAGCGCTGTCCGAAGGAAATCGGATCATAAATCAAAGATTAAATGTGACGTAGCTTTTAGAGATCAATCTAAGTTCACAAAGGGGAGATTCTAGGTTTGAGTCCTGACTTGGTTATTAGTTTTCCGATTATAAATGTGTCCCGAACGGAAGAAAAACGACTTTCTCCTTATATTGCGTTTGAGCCGGAACCTGTCACAATGGAGTTTGACAGGCCCTTCTTTTTTCACCAAGATATTATGAAGAAGTACATTGCTTTTCTATTCTAGCGTCTACAGGAACAGTTTAATTGTCTTTTTGGCTTCCTCTCTCTTCTCATAGCGAGTGAAACAGCTGATTTGATCGCCAAGACTCCGCTTCTGATAAAACACGAAAGAAAAACACATTTAAAGAGGAAATATGAACGATCAGCGCGGACTGAAGGATTCAACGCTCCGATTTTTTATTTTCCTCTTAAATAATCCCAAATGAATAAACTTCCCGCATCAAAACAACGATACAAAAGCAATGTTTGCTCTAGAGGGAGGAGCCGTGGGCGTAGTGGTACTTTTGTTAAGACCTGGGTCAGCTCGCAGTCCACTCTTATTTACATTGCAACATCTCGAGTAAATCGGTATACCGTGAAGACTGTGAACGCTCCCTCTTTTTTTTTTTGTTTTGTTCACTTCCTTGGTTCTTTTTTTGTGTGTTTCTTTTCAGTGCTCTATAAATAAAATTGAAATGATCTTGTCATGTCAGTTCCCAGTCAAAAAATCATGACTACGAGTTCTCAGGAAGAGAAAAAGCGACACAAAGTCCAAAGTGAAAGTACGCCTATCGAGGAAGAAAACGAAACCTCAAGTCCTTCCATTTATGGCGTGGTAGCAGCTCACTCACTATCAAAAGATATCAAGCAAAAGTCACTACATTTGATTAAAGTCAAAAGACGACACGGGGACTGGGGACAGTTCGATTTGACGCATGCGTGGTCACCGGAAGACCCGTCGAGTAACATGGGAAGTCGGCATGGTAGTGGACTGGCACGAGAAACAACATTGGTTGATGATAATTTGACTATGGCTAGACCCTTTGTTATGGAACCTCTGAGAACATTTCAGGTTTGATAAAACGCCCGTGTGTAAGGCCAACCCCTTTCCAAAAGAGGATCCAGGGGGAGGGTTTGGGCATCCGAACTCCCCCCTCCCCGCAACCCACTGCGACTTCCCCCCCTCAACCCACTGCGACTTGTTTGTACTACTCGTCTGAATTCAAAATTCTTCCAACGACAGGATCACACTAGATTCTGTCTGTTAAGCTTTAGGCTTTCGTCTATGCCTCGCTTACGGGTCCTCTAACATAGCGTCTAACCAACGGAGTTCAAAACTGTTGTAATCATCTTGCGCAAAAAGTATCCTCTTCTAGGCCAGTACCTAGTTTATATACGATTAACTCAAATCCCTGAAGTCATTGGCCCTTTACATTGAGGTAGAGAGAACGAAGATAGCTTTGTATAAAACCTCAATTAAAATGATGACCTTCTTACCCCCCCCCCCCCCCCCTTACACCCTCCACTGCTGAAGTTTCAGAATAGATGAGCGGCAACTGAGATTTCTCTCTGACTTGTTACTTGTGTCGTTAGTGATTGAGTGTGTATTTAAAAAAACACGAAGGCAGCACAGTCTAAAAACGGATGAAAACTGCCAGAAAAGAAGGCGCGCTGCTAACTTTTAACAGCAATCTCCTTCCGCTTTCTCTCTGCTCTCATGAACATCCAGTTAGCCAAATTATTTATGCATCTATGCCTTTTCGCTTCACACAGGAACACAGAGTCATACCAATCATTCAACACGTTTTGGAAACAAACCTGGCTGAACAGAAATACGACCCAGTCTTCTGCAAAGATGTCACCGTTAAAATAACTGAAGAGATCAAGGAACGAGTAAAGAAACTGTGTTATCCTCGATACAAATTCGTTTGTCACGTGATTGTGGGTGACGTCAATAAACAGGACGTAAGAGTTGTGAGCCGGTGCGCATGGGACGCAGCGGTAGATCGTTATGCGCAGTCTGAATATCGAAGCTTTTATCTGTACGCAGTAGGAATTGTTTATGGAATTTACTGTGAATAAGATGTGCTATTGAAGCTGCTTTAGGACTTAGATATGAGCATCTTTTCTCCCTTTCCTTTCCAGAGACAAACATGAAAGTAAAGAAATACCAAATAAACGGTCGCGTTCTAATAATACTTCGATTTAAGAATACACTCACTAAATTATATGCACCAGCATATAAGATCAGAGTATCTGGTTCCTTGTATAATAATTTTTATAAGAGTTTGCTTTGTCAATCAAGTTTGATCAGAAAAATCCTGTATTGAAGACGCAACTATTAAAAAAGTCAACTACGTTCCCAATGACATATTATAATGACATAGGAGGAAATAATGGAGAGAGAAACTGGGAACGAAGTTGGAGACGGTTCAATGATTAACGCAAAATGGTTCACCTTTTATGAAGAAAACTCGAGGGAAGAGAAGTCTGAACATATAAATAAAAATCTGTAAAAACTGAGTGTTGAGTTTTTTGCTTGTTTGCTTGTTTGTATTCTTACTACCGTTTTGGACTTGATATCCCCCCGCCCCCTCCGAAATGTTCGATCCATCTTTTGTCAACTGAACACCAGGAGCATGCCATCTTATCTGTCAGATCTGATTAAAGGTCTTTGAAAATTTAGGAAATCTGCTCAATACTCAGGCATTAGTATCTCGTTCAAGCCATTGCTGAGTTACCGTTGGCCTGCAGCGCAGGTGTCTTAAAGGGCGACTCAACGTTACAAATTAGCGATCCTTTAATTGACCGGCCATGTATGATTTAGAGTAAAGGTGGACGGTGGGGAGGGATGGGAAGGGGTGAGATAATTTCTATTTCTCCACTCCCTCTCCTCCCTTCCTCTTAACCTTCGCTCATTTCCTTAGGACAATTTTTTCTCCCCTAGCCTCACGCTGCTGCAAAATTGAAGATGGCAGCTCATGGCAGCTAAGGAAATAATGAGCATTTGCTCTCAAAATACTACACCCAATGCCCCTTATTCAGGGAAACAATCTCATGCCCAGAGTTTCTCTCCTTTGCCCTCCAAGGCAGAAGCTAGATTCGAGAGAAGACGGTTATGTGAAGAACCAAGGGAGACTTTTGTCTGAGGGGTTGCTTAACCCTTTACACCTTAACATCAGTAGGCATATTCTCCATACTTTTTTCTATACATTTTCTATGATACTGACTATGAGAATTTGTTTAACAATCAAGAGCTTCTTTAATTAGTGATAAGTTCCAATATTTCCGTGGCCTTAATGTGTGCTTCAAGGATGAAATTAGATGCTAGTCACTCTTAGGGGTAAAGGGTTTATGTCGTTTTTGTCCAGTTTCCTTACTGCGCGCGGCCGGCAAATAATGATAGACAAAGATGGCTGCCGAAAAAGGAGGCTTTTCGTGGTCCTTCTTCTACTTCAATCGTTCGTTCGAGAATTGATGTAATTTTTGGGGTTTTTCTAAATCATAAATGGAAGGAAAAGGTTCCGCAAGGGGCGTTCAAATCGGCGGGAGTTTTTTCTTTAGGCTTTGAGGAAGAGCTAAGGGGCACCAAACACGGCTTTTTTCCCAATACAGAGTTCTCTGTTTAGCTTACCTTTAGCAAAGTTATGTTTCGTAGTAAATGTGCGCACAACGAAATACTCGTTCAGAAATAAAAATCATTGGCTGGGAGGGCTCATTCGTGTGTACCAAATGTTATAATAAATTGCTAAGGGAACACGGCCAAGGAGAGCTGTAGTTTCAGCATATATGGCGCATGCAAAACTTGCTTGCAAAACTTTGTGCGTTTTTTTTGTTTTTGTATTTGCTTGTTTCTACTTAAGGAGCTCTTCTTTGACAAAAGTTCCTCTCCCTGTGTTGGTTTTGGATCATACCTCGAATTTATGCAGAAGAGATCATGATACCTGTGAATATGGTGCTTTTTTTTCAATTCGCTAGGCGCGAAGTTTTCCGTTTTTTCACTTGAAACGACTGTTATTTCAATGGAAGACCAAATTTACGCAATTCTATTCAAGGTACACTATTTTTTGTCTTACTTTATTGTTTGTGGTAGGTCCTCTATGCTTTGCCACCCCAGTTTATTCTTATGATCGACGACATCAATACCAGCAATACGAATCTGTGGAAATACGTGGATGACACAATTATTGCAGAGTGTGTTCACAAGAAAGAAGGCAGTCGTATTCAATCTGATGTGGAGGAACTGATTGCTAAGTCTAATCAAAATACGTTCCAGCTAAATGAATCGAAATGTAGGGAACTGCGGATTTCGTTCGCTAAATCAGCCGCGGACTTTGCTCCAATTGTTATCAACGGGAAAGCAATAGAGGTAGTGTCTACTGTTAAGTTGTTGGGGCTAAACATTTCTTCTGACCTTCGGTGGAACTGTCATGTTGCTGAAATAAGTAAAAAAGTTGCGAGTCGATTATATTTTCTTAGACAACTGAAGAGAGCGAATATTCCCACCAAAGATCTGCTAATCTTTTACAGGACTTGTATCCGCACAGTAATGGAATACGCATGAACGGTGTTTCACAACGCGCTTCCTGCATATTTATCTGTTGAGTTAGAACAGCTACAGAAACGTGCTATGCGAATTATTTTTCCGTTTGTTCCATATAGCGACGCATTAAATCAAGCCAACTTGGAGACGCTCTCCCAACGCAGGCAGTCTATCACAACTAAGCTTTTTGATTCCATCACCTGTAACTCAGACCATAAACTGTATAAGCTCCTGCCTCCTCAGAACAACTGTGAACTCAATTTGAGACGAAAGAGGAAATTTAATGTTCCTCTGGCTAAGACGAAGAGACTCATGAATACATGAGTACATTTTTCTTATAGTTTTCTCATACTTTTATTAGATTTTACTATTGTAACGATTAATCTAATTCAGCTTTTGGCTGCGATTTTAATCAGAATAAACTATCTACTATCTACTAGACGATATCGAAGAACTGCATTTTAAAAGAAATCAAAGGAAACTGTGGATAAGTCGTGGATACATTATGTTTGAATGGGTTTTGAAGATAATTTAACTCCCCTTCACATAAACGTACACTTTTACATGTAGACATAGGCAACCAATGAGTAGTTGAAACTACTGATTTAGAATTACTTTGAAATGCTGGGGTGATGTTAGGTGAATAGTCAGAATTCACATTTTGGCTCTCGTTTGACTTGCACCGTTCCTTAAACTTCTTTTTTTTTACCATAAAGGCCTATACTATAGCAGATTTCTAACATAAAATTTGTATTAATGTGCTGCAAATGAAAGACTGGCTGGTTGGCTATCAGTTTAGGTTCCCTCCGTTAACAATAACTCACAACTTTTTTTTTTATTTTTTTTATTTTTTGCACTGCTGTCCACCCCACCAGTATATTTCATGGGGAATCTTGGGGAGGGGAATGGAGAGGAGTAAGAGAGTGTTTGTGGGAAGGTTTTTGTGTTATTTTAGTAACCAATCGGTGTAGTTATCATGTCTTTGAGTAGCTTCAGAAATAGTAATTTCAGGTACAGGATCAGTTGAATGTATTTCAGCATTACTAGTGCTCGCGTGTGAATTAGTGAGGAATTCTTTCCACTCATTACTCTGATTTGCAAGAACATCGTTAGCTCTAGTATCAGGATTATCAAACCAATTTTCCTTAACTTCTATATGTTCATTTTTAAAAAAACAATTCACTTGTCTTAACAAGGTATTTTGCTGCTTTTAACACTTTTCTTAGCCTAACGTTCTGAAATTGATAATGATGCCTGTTACTCAACCTTCGTTTACGTCTGATGGGGATAGCTGAATTTTAATTGAATTTACATCAGCAGGTACATTAGCAACATTGCCATGAATAGATAATTGTCCACATCTAGGGAGTTCACATATCTGCATAAATAAAACATTCAAGAAGAAATTAATCTTTCTTTCAAAGGTGTCAAGTTTAAACATTGTGGTTTCACAGGGAATCCCATTTTGTTTACTTTATAACAGACTGGTAGCTTCCCATTAGTCAGATTTGATTGGCAATTAGATCAAATCTATTTCATATTATCTTTACTAGCAGTAGTAATTGTACATGCATCAAGCAGTGTTTTGGAACATTTACGATATTTGTTTGCTTCACACTTTCTGACAGATGAGCAATACCATAATTGATCACAGGAAATACATTCATAATCAGGACCACACTTAATGTTATCTTGGAAAATTTGAATGACTTCTGTCATTGTTTGCATCTCTTGAGTAGAATCTTGACATTCAAATTCATGTATTTGATTAACTGCCGTACAACTTGGTCTTACAGTAGCTGGATAAAGCAGGTCATGGTCACATGTCTTCAACCCAGACATCAAGGATCTATTTCTATTCTGTGCATTTTTGTTCACTTCTCATTCATGCAAAGTATTACTCTTTTCACTTTTGGCAAATGCCTGCTTATTCAGTTCTCTGATATGATCAGGATTTGATTCTTTGTGTTTATTAAATACCCGCTTTTCTTATGTACATAGAAAACATCAAAATGGATAACTCACTAAAATGGGTTTCCTTCAATGTAGTAAGTGGTCAGATGACAAGCAATGCACTATGGAAGTTAGGTGAGGTATTGCTAATTCACTTTTTTTTTTATTCCTCAGAGCCGTCGTAAATATTCCCATACAAACTCCTATGAAGATCAACAGCTGATGGACACAGTGGCAAAGTGATTACACATGCTTGTCTCACATGCACAGAAAACAATGAAATCAACAAACATTACCACAGTAAAATGGCGGCTCTTTCACAATTACAAGTTTTTGTCTATAATACATGATAGGGATAAGATTCCTGTAATGTTCCTCAATTATATATCTTTTTGACAGGAAAAATATCATGGTAACAGTAAATTTTGAGGTTAAAGTCAAAGGATGCGACATTTTCGCATCATGTTGCTACTGTCGCACTTCCTATCGTTGATGGCTTTAATGCAAATCTAATGATAGCAAAAGGAAACCTCTCTAAAGAAACTCTCAAGGCTGTGACCAATGAGTTTTCCAAACTTCCAGATGTGGTACCTGTCTTTCACAACATGGGAAATCATGAGCTCTCTAATTTCTCTCACTGAGAACTTGAATGATCTGTTCTTCTCCTTTGAAATATACTCATGAAATACTGTCCAAGACTTTTTCATGCATTAACAGTAAAAAACCAACACTTTTGGTGATATCAATAATTTAATTAAATTAGATTGAAATAAGATGAACTGTAGTACGCTCGTAATCCAGCGCTAATTTTCACACTTCTTCACCTATTTGACCTAATAAATAATGTTAGCTAAATTAAGAAAACACGGTGATACAAATAAAGGAACACAGTCTTTATGTGAAACACATTAAATGCACATACGCACCCTCACAAGAGCCTTGAGACCCTCTTGTACACTACCACCACGCCTGAACCCGGGAAAAGTTACAAATTTCAGGGGCAACTTTAAAACACATCCATTCAGACATGACCTGATTCCGGTCCCTATTAAATAACAATGACTGTAGCCAATTGAAACGCCGACGACGATGAAAAGTTTTAAATTAAAACAAAGTGTTTTAACGTTAATGTTTTCGTTTATAAAAGTTTTTGGAAACGCTCTTCAGAATATCTGGTAGATTTAATACGCTGATTATCAAAGAAAATTCAGCCCTTATCGAGGCCGCCATTTTGATGTACTTCGAGGTTGAGGAGAAACCGCGTGACACCGGAAGAACTGCAGACTCAACTTAGTTTAGGCCATTGACTAATAAGGTCTTTCATTACAATCAGCTGCAAGCGCCATGCTTCGACTTCCCGCGCTTGGATTAGCCAATAAAATACCAGGATTTTCGAAAACGTTTTCCAACTCGCAAATCTGATTGGCTGAGTGTCGGTTGTTTATGTCACGAGTTGCGAGGCGCAGTTGGGAAATTAGTACTCGCCGTTGGAAAGGACAAGTCTGGTGTATGAGCTTGTCAAAATTGCAGAAAATGTATGTTGATATCCAAATCTAGTCAGCCTTTTTCATATTTTACTCTTAGAGCGTCTGATTTAACGCTAAGAACATGTTAATCCGTGCTCAAAACGATGTAAATGTTTCATAGATGGCTATAGACGAAGATTGGGCGCTTTGATGGAATTTCATTCGACGTCAAAATTTCGTATCCATACTTTGTTGTTTTTCAGAAAATGGAAAATCCGAACGAGGATCAGGATCAGATGTCCACCTCATCTACTCTGACGGGCTCCTCTGGACGTTCTGTACCAGTAGAGGACGTTCACGTAGAATTTTCAGAGGTAAAAAGAAATCACAACCTTTCATATTTACGCGAGCTTGACTTTTCGTAGTCTTGTAATCTCCTCATTGACCACTGTGTAATAAACACGAGGTTTTGTGTTGCTTAACACTTTCTTCATAACTTAACCAATTCTTCTTCCTCAATGAAGTTTCGATTGTTTATTACAGTAATACAATTTTTACACTTAGTTTGCTTCAAACAATTCTCCGTGGGACACACAGACGTCCTAGGAGGCCTAGAATATACGGAAGTTTTGGCATCAAATGTATATGTTTTCAGAGATCAGAAACTGACAAGCCTTGTTAGCTCGGTAGGAAGCAATAGTAAATTACATTTGAACGTAGTCTATATATACAAAATGAAATGTTGTAAGGAGGTCAAGGCGTGATATTTAGTAGCTGTTTATTTGTTTTTATAAGCTCTCCTATGTAGCGAATGCAACTGGGTCGAATGAAAGAGTCACAGATCAAGCGTCAAGCACGTAAGTTGCTTATTTGGACAGCATATCTGCTTTATGCTTTTAACAACGAATAATTCTCCAACTGTGGTCAACACTTAAAAGAACAGTTTAAAATAACAATAAACTCAGGTGAACTCTAGTTGCTATAAATTTCACAAAATGACATCTTATGTTACCTAATAATATTAAAATATAGTTTACCGGTTCAGACTAGTGCATTATTTTTAATTTTCCACTGGTCAAAATTTCATTGTTGTTTGGATCGTCAAAAGATAATTTATTGGTGATATCTTAATTTATATGCCATGTGTGCTGAAAGTAAAACATGGTTTTTGGTTTACTTCAAAAAAATAATGCCAGTAAAATTTCTGCACAGCCCCATACTACATTAAGCATTCAGTTCTTGGATAGAGAAAATAATAACAAAAACAATGCATTGCCATAGGGAAAACAGATTTGTTTTACAATGTTATGGGGCTGTGTGGAAATTTAACCAATAATGCATACTGAACCTTGCTTATTTTAGCACTTCTCGCAATATTGAAACTTCTTCTATCCTTCTGGCTGAAAAAAAATGGGATGTGAGTTAAATGTGTCAGTTGATTATTGTTTAATCAAATTTTTGTGGAAGAGAAATCTATCATAATATGTCACACAAATTAAAAGTAGTGTTGATTTTACTTGATGAGATAATCTGTTTTGTTTATATAAAATTGTGGCACTCTTGTGCAACAAATTGGACAAACCCACAGCCATTTTAAGCTAGTGTTATACCTCAATCAGATAGAGATGCAGTAAACAAAATATATATGTCACAGTTTTTTTTTATTTATTTTCAGCCCTGGTGATGGCGTAGCTCCTCACAACACTAATGTAATTGGTGATATAAACTGTGAGGTAGACACTGAAGTAAGACACCAAAGATCACAAGTCAATGGAAATCAACCTCCAGGTATTTAAAGCTTTACAATGCAGTGCGACTCAGAGCCAAATAGTAAACAGGTGGGATACTGGGTTAAAAGGGTGGGTTCAAGTATATTTTAAGTTCTAACTAACTTACTTAATCCTCTTTGTGGATCCTTCTACATGAGGTCTTTGTTAGGGAAGGCCATTGATGTCTGTCAGTTGCCTGTTGGCCAAACTACCCTCATGTCTAGCCTCCATCAATCATTTCCCTTTTTGAATAAAGGGGTAAGTTTCTAAAGAAACTGTAGTACTGCGTCGGTGGGAGAGTATAGCAGGTAATTTAGTTTTAACAACTGGGTTGAAAACGTAAATTAGCCACCATAAAGGGTAAAAAAGCTGACGTTTCTTGCACTTATTGCAATAAGTTATACATTGGTGAAACAGGAAGATGACTGGGTGACCGATTCCAAGAACACCTTTGCGATGTGGACAGAAATGACAAGGACACATCCAAACCAGTCGCTAGACACTTTAATCTTCCTTATCATTCTAAACAGCATATGGCAGTTTGCGGCCTTTCCTTACATCTAGGCAGTTCGGGAAAGCCGTAAAACACTAGAACAAAAATTTATATTCCAAATCGGCACCCTTAATCCCCACGAAATCAATGAGCGCTTTTCATTCAACTAATTTATTCCTGTTTTCTCATCACCATATTCCCACCAATGGCGTAGCTCCACTTTCTACATATAAATCCACACACAACCCACAATTCCTCTAATTGCTCTGACAAAGGGCTAACGCTCGAAATGTCAGCTTTTTTATCCTTTACGGTGGCTAATTTACGTTTTCAACCTAGTTGTTAACACTAAATTACCTGCATTTCCCTTTTTGCATTTCTCTTTCAAGTTTTGAGTGACAAACATATGGGAGGCCATTACAAGCATGCACCTGTGACTCCAGGCAGGGCTGGTAGTTTCCTTTTCATTTTTCCACATCCTTTTGAGATGTCATATGGCTTTCCAGGGAGACATAAATTTGGATTGGGAAAACTAATAATGAACCAAATGGGCCTAATCTTCTTTTGAATGACTTTTGTTAAATTACTTCTGGCTTAACACGTAGACATTTGCATGTATTTGTATACTTAAACTTAAAGGAGGTCTTTCTGTATTCATTTATACTTGTGTATTTATCTACTTCTTAAATTTTTTTGCTTGACATGAGGTATTATAATATTGGTGATGTGTTATCTCATAGTTTGCTCTGGGCGTCAACCATCAACAAATGAAGATTTGTTGTTAAAACAAGCACAAGATGGAGAAAAGGTATTGAAAATATTAATTGTGTTTGATAGTAATGTCTGAGACCAATATGATGAGGAAAAGGTATGTGGAGGCCATATGCCTGCAAACCTAAGATGAAGCTGACTTAATTATATATTTAGCTTTGTAGCTATAAGTAGGCTATTGATTCTTCAGCTTTTTATCTGTAATGATATTAAGTGGTAACTTTACTGCAATTTACCTCAAAATTGAAATTTGTAGTAAGGTTTTAGTCAATGGTACAGAAATACCGGTAAGCCCAATAAGGCAGTTTGAGTAGATAAATGATATTGCTACAAGATGAAAAATTGACTTTGTTAAGTTGCCATTATACTGTCTGACATTGGACATTGTGTACCTTCACGTTTTCAAAGGCATTGTTGCTGTAGTTGACTTGAATCACTTATAGTGCAAATTCAGACCAGGCTGGTCCGAGGTTTACTACACTGATACTCAAATACAAGCCATTGATTGAAGAAGAATGTATGATGAAATTTAATTTTGACATGCAGAAATGTTACTTCATTTTTTCTTTACTTATTTAATAAATTAATCGACCTGGTATAGTTATGCTTTTCATGGGCTGTTCCTTTTCTATCCCTGAGTAAGGAAATAAGATTTCCCTTCATTAATTACTTCCTTTTTGAAGCAAAATGGCAAATTATTACAATATTTATTTGAAAGACAAATCAAGTTTTACCCTTATGATTTTAAATAATTTTCATTCTTTGTATTCCAGAATTCCCACTATTGTTGTGGTGTTTGCTTGGAAAATGTTCAGGTGAATGGATGCTGCCAAAGAGTAGCACACAAGGAATGTTTGCATGCATCTGGTTTGAGTCTTACAAATTGCAACTGGTGAGTATAAAAACACTGATTTGCTGGTTGATACAAAATTGCACATTTTGGCTGAAAATACAGAAACAAAGATATGAAACAATTGGGTGATTCAACTGTTCTCTAGCTGGGAATGATTGTTCCAGAGAACAGTGTTCATGTCCATGTTCATTGAACGTTTGGCTTGTGTACATAGAACTGAACATTTAATGTACCCAACTAAACTGTACCCTGCTATATCAACAATGACCAGATATTTATTAAACTTCAATTCCATTTTCATAAATTAATGTAATCATGTTCCTGTCCATTATGATTGAAGTCATAGACATGTCAATGAGCTACTTTAGATTGTGTTTTTTTCTGACACTTTGAAGTTCATCAACAGGCATTTTTACTTAAAGTTTGAGTTATCAGGAAAAATTTGAGGCAAGAGGTTATAAATGAGGAGTTTGAGTAAATTGAGTTTGAAATCCCAGGGAAATTGGACTTTGTTTGAGTTAGCAGAGAGTTTGAGTCAATCAGAGTTATAGAGTGGTTCTCTTGAAAAGTACTGGAAAATGGATATGTATGAGGTTGATAATGATCAACATTGTGGTTTAATTCATTTTTCTAATAAACATTACATTTAACATAAAATCTTTTCTTGAGATATTTAGTCCAATACTTCTCTTTCTTTTTCTTGTTTTCTTTGTCATTCTGAGCATGTCAATATTGTACTCTTCTGTATTGACAAATTCTCTAAAAGATACCATACGATAGCAACAACTAGAAGTTTTTCTCTTTGGTAGTGCTGGGTGAAAATTCTAGGGTTGTGAAAATCTCAGCATGGCCAGAGGAGGAATGGAGTAGAAAGTCTTACTTTTTTTTAAGATTTTATATTTTCTGTAATAGATGTGTTTGTAGTTTGTCCTATGTTCATTGACTCTTAATGTATATTAACACATGACTTTCACAATGTTATAGTTTTCATAGGATGAGAACTGTCAACGGAATTGATTATCCAGGTATGTGGACTATTGCAGGAAATGTCTTTTTGTTTCTTTTACAGAGCCAGAGAGATAGATTTTATTGGAACATTTACATATTACATATTTCGTAAAAACAACACTAGCCAGCAAAAGCTTTAGAGATTTTAATTATCTACTGAATTGCAGTTCTCTGAAGAGTTTAACTATGAAAGCTTGAAACTTTCAATCAAACTGTTCATGAAAAAGGAATATCAGTGCTCAAAAATGCAGCTTGGTCAAACCAACAAATGCAACTCAAGGTATTAGCTTCTTTACTCCAAATTGAAGTCCCTATTTGGTCTGCATTTTAAAACATGTTCAAAGATGACCAAACAGTTATGTTTTTAATGCATTTCTTATGTGAATTTCATTGAGTTGTCCCTTTTTGCAGCTGACTGACATTTTTCCAATAGATTTCCATCAAGTAAATTGCTCTGTTTTCAGGAATCTGTTTGTGTGACTGTTGCCAATTGAATCTATAAACTCTCTCCTTGCTGCGACCCTCAGACCCCTTGTAATTTCTCCTTACAGTATTGCCCTTGGATCACACATTTATGTCATGAATATAAAGGAAACTGTCACCAACCATAGAATCTCTTGATTGATAGACAAATTCTCCTTGTCAGCACCTTGGGAGATGTATAAAGAACAGTATGGAGAATATGCATACTGATGTTAGGGTGTTGAAGAGTTTGTGATATCATTTCTTGTTTTTGTTTAACACAGCTGCTCTAACATCATCTAAACAACCATCAACTAATGATGATGTTTCTGACACATGGGAAAATCACCCTCTACAGACTTTCCCACAACATTCCAAGGTTTGATTTTAAATCCTGTTTTTCATTGCAGATGGTGAAGTTAATTGTAAAAAGGGTATTGTTTAGTTGCAATCAATTTAGCAGATGTTTTTTTCAAAAGTGTTGAGTGACAAGAAACTATTATCATTGGCCAAATGTAACAACGAGGTAATTATGTAGTATCAACTGAGTTGAAAACTTAAATTGGCTACCGTAAAGAGTGTTAAAGCTGACATTTCAAACATTAGCCCTTGGTCCTTTGCTCTGCTTTAAAACTCTTTATGGTGACCAATTTAGGTTGTCAATTCTGTTGATAATACTAAATTACCCTGTTATACTTTCCCACTGGTGCAGCACCATAGTTTCTTCAGTAACTTACCCCCTTTATTTAAATGTAACAACACCACAGTTTCTTTTTTAAGGGCAAGGGGGGCCATTCAGCTTAATTTTTCACACTCTTTCTAAAATTTGAATTTTATACCTTTGCATTTAACAAACAGATTGCTGGTGTAGCAATAATGAATTCAATTAATCAATTTTTTGGTCTTCATTTTGATGATGTTTAAGTTATGATATTTGATATTTGTGGGTAATGTTAGGTCATCATATCATATTTAATCATAATTCTGTGCTTACTTAGCTTATCTTTCTTTCTTTCAGGTCTTGTCACTGTGTTGTGAAATTTGTGGAGAAGAAGAGGTCTTCATGAAATCACTGTGCTGCAACAGTGAATACCATCAGGATTGCCTCAATCAGTGTAGAGAAGAGGGTCACACAAACTGCCTTTATTGCCGGTGTCCCATGCAAGAGGGTGGTGGAAGAAATGGTGGTGGAGAAGATGACAGTAGAAGTAATGGTGGCGGAAGAGGAAGAGGAGGAGGACTTGATGGTGCGAGAGTGGATGATGATGCTGTTGGAGAAAATAATAATGGAGGAGGAACTGACAGTCAAGGAGGAGGTGATGGCAGAGAAAGTGGTGACAGAGGAGGTGATGAAGGTGACCCTGGTGGTGGAGGGGATGATGGTGGTGGTTGTGGTGGTGGTGGTTGTGGAGGAGGTTCACCATTACCCTCTCAACCACCACCACCACCACCACCACCACCACCATCACCTTTCCTTCAGCTGTTGTTGCCACCTCTTAATCCACTGCTTTTTCCTCCTCAACCACCATCAGCCGATGATGGAGATGAAGAGGAAGATTTTGAAAGAAGAGTTGATTATCAAGGTGGAAATGAGAATTCAGGTAACTTTTTTTCAGTTTTTTTAGCACCAAACCTACAAAAAATTACAAGCACGTTACTAGTCGTGATGACTCTTTTCAGCTTGTAGTTTAAATTGCTACTGGTATATTGTTGATGGGTGTGGTACTTATGTTGAAGAATGAAGCTTCCTTACTCTTTATACTTAGAGTCAATTCCCAGCAATGACTGCCTTGTAATGGGGTAGCTTCCTGTATGGGAGTAGGTGAAACGCCCCTACTAGTTAGAGGTCACCAAAATCTGGAGAAGTTTCTACATTCTGGGCTAGTTGAGTGCTTTTGTGGACTTCGTCATACCCCTATCTGTCCCCATCGTTTAGCCTCAATTACCAGCCCCGTTCGTGAATTGAGCCTGCGTACCACTCTGGAATTGGGAGTTTAGTAGACCGGTTTGGAGATGATGGCGGTAATCGAGACCACATATAATTTAAACAATGATTAAAATATTAAACGTGTTTCAAAAAAGGTTGAGTTAATGCACTCTGTTTAATCCTAGCCTTCCCTTTTTTCTGTCAGATCATTACGAAGGAGACGAATATTAACAGATCTAGAAAGCCTGGTCCTGATGCACTGAGCCACCACGCTCCATGGTTGCTTCATTGAACATTTATTTTATTATAATTAATTGTTAAATGTAACGGGCGTGCTGTTTATGTCTACTATTCCGCGCACGCTCCGTCTGAATTCATATATTTCCATAATTATCGCAATGTTTGTTACGTAAACCGTTTAATTAGAGACGCGTAATCTGGTTGTTCGGTTGTTCGGTTCAGTTTCAACCAAGCTTACCAGTTATTATAATATTGCTGACCAGTTATTTACCACAAGTACGGAGGCAGTCAAGAAGTAAGTTTTCAGTTGATTTTCAGGTTATAACAATTAATTTTCTGTTCGTTTTGAACTCTTGTAAGGCCGAGTGCCAACGTGGTTTCTTTGTATTTTAGATCGAATTGTGTTATTAAATGAAATATGGTTCTTTCTCCGTATTGGCTCTTTGGTCTTCTTTTCGAAGGAACAATGGTCATCGTTGGGTCTCTCCTCTCTTCCCCCCCCCTCCCCCCCCCGATCTTGCAAGTCCTTAATGACTCAAAAAGTCACTAGGCAGGGAAAAATACTTCAGTTAAATGACAACGATAATTAAAGTAGATTCTGAAATGTCATTAATGGAATTGAAATTAGTTTATTATGGTAATACCACATAAATATAACTACCCTGAACTGTTAGCTTCGTCAAAATTACCTTCCATCACATCATTGTGTGTTCTAAATGTTTCAAACTTTGTACTCAAGTATTGTAGTCTGATGGTGGGAAAAGTTTGTTGAAATCATGTAACTTACTCTCAAATTTGCGTGTCAAAATGCAACCAACTGGCCGCGATTTCTGATTTAAACCTTCCTCGTTACGTTTATCCAATTATCAATGCTCTGCACCGTCCACCCTCTATTTCCTATAATTTCAGCACTATGAATTTGGCCCTAAATAGAATAATATATTCTTTTTTTTAATACTTCTGTGATCGCTCTCGGTAGTGACAAGGTTAATATGAGAAGCAATATTCATTCTAAATGAATTAATACCGATTAGAGTAGCACTAGTATTGTGAAGGCATGTTTGAATCAATTAACGGAAACCGTCAACCCATTTGAGGCTTGAACAGAATTTAACCATGAACAAGTTTTGTTTGATTATAAAACAATAAGCAATTGACACACCTCCAAATAGGAGCGAATTAATTCTTGTCCTGTCAAACAAGAAGCAATGTTTATTTTCCGCTTGGAAGACGTTTTTCGTTCGCTCAGCCGCTACATTTTCCGTCATTCAGTGAATACGAACTTTAACTGTTGGGTTTCTCTCTACCGCTTTCGTTGAAAAAACTTCTTGTTCTTCTCTACGGGGTAACGACAAAGGAATTTAGCTAAATATAAAATTCACCACAGTATTCGCACGCATTTCTTTGGCGATCTTGTGGTCATGTCGGCTCAGAGAATGAAAACGCTTTGTTCTAACATGCGTTAAAGCTCAGAGACAACTTATATGCCGTCTATCACTAAATTACCGTCCCGTCAATTTTTTTTAGTTCAGTTTAAGTGAAATCTTAGATAAGCTGAAGTGTCAATAGCTTTTGTAATCATACCGGAGTTGCTACGAACTGAATTAAAAACTGAGGCTGAAAAACTTGGCTCTTTTTTATCGTTATGTCAAACTGAAAGCGCTGTTTGAAGGAGATCGAACCATCAATCAACGATTAAATGTGACACAGCTTTTAGAGATCAATCTAAGTTCACAAAGGGGAAATTTTAGGTTTGAGTACTGACTTGGAAATTCGTTTTCCGATTATGAGTGTGTCCCGAGCGGAGGAAAAACAACTTTCTCTTAATATTGCGTTGGAGTCGGAACCTGTCACAACGGAGTTTGACAGGCCTTTCTTTTTTCACCAAGGCAATATGAAAAAGTCCATTGCTTTTTTATTCTTGCGTCTATAGGAACAGTTTAATTGTCTTTTTTGGCTTCTTCTCTCTTCTAGTGGCGAGTGGAGCAGCTGATTTGATCGCCAAGAATCCGCTTCTGATAAAACACGATTATATTTAAAGAGGAAATGTGAACGATCAGCGCGGACTGAAGGATTCAACGCTCTGATTTTTAATTCTCCTCTTAAATAATCCCACCTATATCGAAATTAAGAAAATAGGATAATTTTTCCAAACAAGGTCATGAAATGAATGAACTTCCCACATAAAAACAACGACACAAAAGAAATGTTTGCTCCTGAGGGAGGAGCCGTGGGTGTAGTAGTACTGTTGTTGAGACCTGGGTCAGTTCGCAGGCCACTCTCATTTACACCGCAAATCTCGTGTAAATCGATGTACCGTGAAGACTGTGGGCGCTCCCTCCTTTTTTTTTTTCATTCATTGCCCTGGTTCTTCTTTAATGTGTGTTTCTTTTCAGTGCTGTGTAAATAAATTGAAATGATTTTGTCATGTCAGTTCCCAGTCAAATAATCATGACTACGAGTTCTCAGGAAGAGAAAAAACGACATAAAGTCCAAAGTTAAAGCAAGCCTATCGAGGAAGAAAACGAAACCTCAAGTCCTTCCATTTATGGCGTAGTGGCAGCTCATTCACTATCAAAAGATATCAAGCAAAAGTCACTACATTTGATGAAAGTCAAAAGACGACACGGGGACTGGGGACAGTTCGATTTGACGCATGCGTGGTCACCGGAAGACCCGTCGAGTAACGTGGGAAGTCGGCATGGTAGTGGACTGACACGAGAAACAACATTGGTTGATGATAATTTGACTATGGCTAGACCCTTTGTTATGGAACCCCTGAGAACATTTCAGGTTTGTTAATACCACGCCCGTGTGTGAGGCCAGCAGTTGGCAAAGGGTGGATCGAATATTTCGGACGGGGCGGGGGGATTTCAAGTCCAAAATGATGATAAATGCTCATATCTTAATCCCAGGGTGACAATTGCAAGAGCAGCTTGAAAAGCACGTCTCATTCACAGTAAATTCCATAAACAATTCCTACTGCGTACAGATAAAAGCTTCGATATTCAAACTGCGCATAACGATCTACCGCTGCGTCCCATGCGTACCGGCTACCAACCCTTACGTCATCTTACATCATAATGACATAGGAGGATAATTTCTATTTCTCCACTCTCTCTCCTCCTCTTCCTCGTTACCGTCGTTCATTTCCATGAGACAATTTTTTTTTCTCTTAATGCAAAAATCATAGGTGGCAGCTCATGACCGCTATAATTTTCTTCAAGGAAATGATGAGCATTCGCTCTCCAAAATACTACACCCACTGCTCCTTATTCAGGGAACAATCTCGCGCCCAGAGTTTCTCTCCTTTGCCTTCCAAGGCGGAGGCTGGATTCGAGAGAAGACGGTCATGTGAAGAACCAAGGGAGACTTTTGTCTGAGTGGTTGCTTAACCCTTTACACCTTAACATCAGTAGGCATATTCTCCACACTTTTTTTTCTATACATTTTCTATGGTATTGACTATGAGAATTTGTTTAACAATCAAGAGCTTCTTTAGTTAGTGATAATTTCCTATATTTCTGTGGTCTTAATGTGAGATTCAGGGATGAAATTAGATGCTAGTCGCTCTATGGGATTAAAAGGTTAATCTCGTTTATGTTCAGTTTCCTTACCGCGCGCGGCCGGCAAATAATGATAAACAAAGATGGCTGCCGAAAGGGAGGCTTTTAATGGTCTTCTTCTTCTTCAATCGTTCGTTCGAGAATGGATATAATTTTTGGGGTTTTTTAAAATCATAAATGGCAGGAAAAGGTTCTGCAAGGGGCGTTCAAATTGGCGGGATTGTTTTTTTAGGCTTTGAGGAAGAGCAAAGGGGCACCAAACACGACTTTTGTCCCTATACCGAGTTCTCTGTTTAGCTTACCTTTCGCAAAGTTATGTTTCGTATTAAATGTACACACTGCGAAAAACTTGTTCAAAAACAAAATACATTGGCTGGGAGAGCTCATACGTGTGTACCAAATGTTATGATGAATTGCTAAGGGAACACGGCTAAGGTAAGCTGTAGTTTCAGCATGCAAAACTTGCTCATTTTGTGCGTTCTTATCTTTTTGTTTGCTTTTTTTTTCACTTAAGGAGCTCTACTTTGATAAAAGTTCACTTCCCTGTGTTGGTTTTGGATCATGTCTCGAATTTATGTAAAAGGGATTATGATACCTGTGGGTGTGGCGCTTTTTTTTTAATTCGACAGGCGCGAAGTTCTCCGTTTTTCACTTGGAACGACTGTTATTTAAGTTAGTTAGAAGAAAAGAAGAAAGAAGAAAAGACAAAAATACGAGTGGTCAGCGGGGAAACAAATTTAATATTTCACATAGAGATATATCAGTTGTAGTTGCAGAAAACAATAGTGTTGCAAAGCCGAAATGTTGACAGTGTACTTCGCTGAATAAAATGTTAAGCAATTTTTCAAAAGTTTGATGGCACATATATCTTTTACTGCTGTATTAAACATTGGAGGCATCGGAAAAGGCACCGGTGGCATTCGGAAAGGCGCTAAGAATAATTATATTTACGTTTTGTAACTTGCAAAAAACAATCGTGTTGTGAAGCCAAAATGTTACAAGGTTATACTTCGCTACTTAAAAAGTTAAGCAATTTTCCAAACGCTTTGACTGGAACATTATTTTTACTGCTATATTAACCAACGGAGGCATCGAGAAAGGCATCGGTGACACCGGGAAAAGCATTGAGAAGAATGATATTTACGATATGTAACTTGTTGTATGACGAAAAAAAATATCTTGACTTGTCTAAGACGTTAATCACAGTTGGTTTGCTTTTCACTTGAATTTTGTAATCGCGACTTTCGATTCCGGAAAAATGAAAAGTTTGGCAACTCTAAAAAAAATTTCGTCCTAAATTTTTTAAATTTTTTAGTTATTAGTAAGTTTGTATCCACAGCCTTTAGGTAAGAAATTTAAAATTTCCATCAGCTGTAGTTCTTCTAGTGTTTATTATATATATATTCAATCGCTCATTTCATGTGAAAAAGGCATGCAGGAAAACACTGAGCTTCGAGAAACAGCCAAGTTAAGGCTAATGTGTTTACCATGGTTAAATATTTATAATCAGGGCCACTCGTCTAGGAGACCTTTTTTCCAAAGATCCAGACGTTAAAATAATTATGTTTTCCGTTCGAAGTGGTTTTTTTTTCTATTGAATTTAACAAATGAACTCGGGATGAAAACCGAACGGCAATGAAATCAGTTGTGTTGGTGTCTCTGTCCCCCCACGTCTCTGCGAAAGGTATATCCAGACAACCTGCATGGAAAAACTGACCACAGCTATCGCACCAAATTTTTTAAAAAAATCTTTAAAACTAAACTAGTGAGTAGCACTTTGCGAACAGTAGTTGTAAAATTTCTTTATTCTCCGACGCTTTTCGTCTAACTGTCGTAGACTTCTTCAGGGAGATTTACAATTTAACACTAAACACCATAAAGGCTTGGCCGGACCTACGAATAGGAACAGATGAAGTTGTGAAAAATTTGAACATCTTTTGGGGCAAGGTGGGAAAATTCATTCGGGGACCACGGTTTTGGTTTTCTTTTTTCGTCACGCACGTCACGCAGCAAGTTACAAAACGTAAATATAATTCTTCTTGGTGTCTTTCCGGATGCCACCGATGCCTTTTCCGATGCCTCCATTGTTTATTACAGCAGTAAAAGATATATGCGCCATCGACACTTTTGAAAAATTGCTTAACATTTTATTTAGAGAAGTATACTGTTGATATTTCGGCTTTACAACACTATTGTTTTCCGCAACCATAACTGATATTTCGTAGAAAAGGTTGTGGTTATTCATCGTGGTGAATAACAATAAAAACTAGGTTTTTCGTTTATATCACGATGTAGTAAAATGTGATGTAGATCGCGACGTTTCGACTGCATACTGCTAGTCTTCTTCAGGTTATGAGGTCGACTGGTCATGCGTGATCTCACAAAGCATGATGCTCTGCTGTGATTAGTTGTTTTTCAACAGCTCTGATTAGTGCATTTCGATCCTTGCTGTTCACTCAGTGATTTGCTCCCTCGACGGTCCGCTCTCGCACGGCTCTCCTGTTGTGTTGTGTTTTTTGATCGTGGGCATCCACGCTTCTGGAATTTCTATTCCACTATCCCTGTTAATGTTGTTAGGGTGAAGTCTTATATGAATTGCCTCTTTGACCCTGCGCGTGTAGTAATAAGGCAAAGGCTGTAGCCCTCTAGGTAGAGGAGATTTGTTATTGCTGCTGTTGTTGATGTGGTACTTGTTGTTGTATTATATTTTAGTTTGCCATTTGTACATTGTATCTTATGGGAAACTATACAATGGAGCCTGTAGAACCACTTGATTATAACCCTTCTTTCTATCAACCCATGAGGGAAACTGTAACTAACAGATGTCGTAATATTTTGAAACCCATCTGGCTCAGGACAACTTATGCTCGTGATACATTGAAAACCATTTCAGTACGCGACTCATGGTAATTTATTAGGTGGCAAGACAGCATTGAAAGAATCAGACCAAAATATTAGATAATTTAAAACTCCCAAAAATGACTGATTCAGGTAACTTCTCCCTATAATATCCAAACACTATCCAGCAAACAGATAATGATAATACTGAAACTTATCAGGCAGAAGTTATCTTGATCTTACATCATATTCTCATAACTTATTTGCAAGTAAATGTGTAACAACTAGAAGGGAGAATTAACAATCAGATCTTGGGTATTTAAGAGTTAAAGGAAGAGAACAGAAATGCATCCTCTCAGCTACTGATCTCAACAATGCTAGTCCTTTACACACATTTAAGTTTCTGTCAGTGATAACTTTCAGTGAATTGATATTCCCATTCTTAGTACTCAGAGGCCTTCTGACACAAGGGTTTGCTATACTAGTTCTTATTGCATTGTGTAAACCAATGTTATGATAATGTAATTTTGAGATGTAAAGAAGACTCTTAAAAGATTGCGAAATATATCCAAACCAAGATATTTATTTTATACTGTTACAGTTACCATAAGATTTGTGTGAAAGAGAATCTTTCAGACCATCGAATTGTATGAGAAATTATTTTTTGCGAGACTTCTATCAAACTTTTTTACTATGAGGACAATTTTGTGAATAATAAAATTTAGTGTCATGCTACATCTTTTATGTTGAGAACTCTTTTAGTTGGTGAGACTCACTTTTTCTTTTTTTCAATTTGAAACATCAAATTGATTGATGTATAAAGCACACAAAATATTTTTTGGGAGTTCCTTGTGGCATCCATAGTGGATTACTATGCTATCATAAAAAACAAAAGCAACTACTGAAAACTGCTTTTGTCACAATTGCTACCAAATTTGTGTCAGTTTTCTCGGTCTGCCATAATAAGTGAAAACTTAGAAGATACAGCGTCTTATTATTTTATGAAAAGCAATTACTTTCCAAGAGTTTCTCTGCCAGGAGTGTTTTAGGCAAGCCATGTGGTAAACAGTTGAGCAATATTGAACTTATTGACTTACTACCGGAATAAAAAAAACTCTATTGAACTTAAAACAATTCAGGTACCTAATAGAAAATTTGTACTCATTTTGCAACGATAGTTACCCTCATCCATAATTCGCAGAGGATAAGATAAATATTTAGCAAAAATACATGCCTCCATGCATAAACTTGAAGAAGTGAAAGCTCGTAGGCGAACCATTGGGGCCATAAAATGTATTTGAACAACCAAAAGCGGCACACTGCTTTCCTTTCTTTTTGGGAGAAAAATTATCTTAAGCGAGATTTCGGCTAGGACATCCATTTTCCTTAAAAATCGAACAATTTTACTGCCCACGTACGGATTTACCAAAAGCGCTCACAGAGATTTAATCCAGTGAGATAACGCACTAATGCTGTACTAAAAAATCAACCGATTACCTTCAACTAAATAAGATTTCCGTTAAGGTTTCCGTTCTAATCTTTAGAAATACAGATAAATGCCAGCATGTTCCTCCAGCTACTAAATTTATTCGCCCGTGAAATGCCTTTATACTCTCGCGCTCAGATTGATGATTGTAAAACACGATTCAGTAGAGGAAAAACTCTGAATCTTTGCTTAGATTTCTTCATTTCTGGTAGTGGACTCCTTGGTGAGTCATTAGGTGTTCAAAGACTGATCTGTTAATTTTGCTCAAAGAAAGTACCCTTCAACTGCAGGGTACGTCATCCGCCATCACTAAAGCTAAAGCGAAAAAGAGACCTCTGATATTAACATTTATTCAAATTTTCAACCTTGCAAATTTATTCGGAAATTTCGATATTGAAACAACACGATTAACATTTAAACAATGGTGAAATTATTGTTTTTTTTTTTTTTTTTTTTTTTTTTTTTTTGTAATCTGCACCAACGACGCCGCAAGGCGGACCGGAAGTGTTTTTTTGTTGGTTTCATTTCCTGTAACACCACAGCATGTCGTTCACGTGTGTAGTAGCACCCAGGTCTCATCCTTCTTATAGCGTCCATGAAAACAGAATTTCACCAGGCTCATAATACCTACCACAGTTGTACCGTTGCACTTATGTCCTCTTATTGCAGATATGTCCTCTGACGTAATGTGATACAGTGGCCAATCATATCCTGCGATCTATCGAGCGACACGCGGCTTGGGACTGGTTAAGAGACTCCGTTGTGGTTATGTCTTCAAGCAAAAGTACTCATTCAAGGGGGTCGCGATAAGTGGAAAATTTGACCAGTATTTTCCGGTAACTGATCTGAGGAAAACATGCTGTTTGCATGATCACTGCGAACCGGATCATTGGCCTCTCATATTGCTTTCCTTGAAGTTCTATCGTTCGTTGACGCAGTGATCGCATCGTTTTTATAACCTAAACTTGGAAGAACAATTTGCTGCGCGTGAATAACGAAAAAAATGGAAAATTAGGGCTAAAGATTTGATTTGGCAAAATTGGAAACTCGGAGTAAAGATAGCATATGTGAGCTAAGGGTATTATGAATTCTCAGAGTTTACCCCATTTTTCTAGAACTAATCTATTAAAACAAAGGAAAATCTGGGTAAAGATTTGACATCACAACTTAGGTTATATTCCACTTGCATGATGAATTGTCAAAACCTATCCCGTTTTCTAGAATTCGTTGAACAAATGGAAATCAGGGACAGATTGGACATTGCAAGTTATGATATTAACCACTCGTGGAAAGAATTGTCACGGTTTACCCCGTTTTTCTAGAGTTATTTGAACAAATCGGGATGAAGATTGGATATGGAAAAGTTATGATATTATCCACTCGTAGGTTGGTTCAGAAAATGGAAAATTAGGGTGAAGATTGGATTTGGCATGTTGGGATATATTCTACTTGCTGGATAAATTGTAAGAATTCAATGAAAAATGGAAAATAGCGGTTAATATTGGATATGTCAAGTTGGAATACATTACATATGCAGGGTACGAGCTATTTGATTGTTTTGATTTTGGAATGCGCTTAAAACATGGAAATGCATGGGAATGAACAGATATACCGCATTTGTAAGTTAGATCGCCGGAATTGCACCCTTTATTCGCGTAAAAGAATGTTGGGATGGGGGTAGGTGTCGAAAGGTTACCCTCGGGTGAAGTCAATAATTTTAGCCGGTACATTGTAGAATCCCAGCACAAAGCCTGGAGATTATTGGACAAATATCACCGAGCCTGAGGAGATTTTTATCGCTGGAAAAGAGAATGTAGCCTTCCCTATAAAATATTTATCAGTCTGCAAGTTTTGATGCTATGTTTCACCACTGTGGTGTTCTTATTGTTGAGACCGGTCTGTATATTACTCACACCCTTGGAATTTAAGTCAATTTAGCGTTAAAAAAAGTTTTCAGACAATTGGAAATTTTCCCAGAAGTCGCTGTATACACAGAGGCATGTGCATATATTGACGGCAAACTATTGATTTATCTTTGCTTGACAAGCAAAGTGTACATATACATAGAGGACTACGGGTTCTATGCATCGTCAGATAAAACATTGTAACAGAATATTTAAAGAGTCGAGTGCAAAGGAAGCCATTCCAAAAGGATCTTATTCCAGAGAGACATCTGCCCAAAAAGCAGTATGCTTATACGAGAAAAGAAAAGAAAAGAAAACTTACGTAATTCAGATTTAATCAAATTTTTAACAGATGACAATATTAACAAGCATTACTTTCTTGTCACTATTAACACGCATCACGAAAGAAGACAATTGAGCAATAACTATCATTCATGCTAATACTAAGTCAAGGCTTTGTCACAGTTTCTTTCTCAAAAAGATATTGTAGATGAATATGAAGAGTGATTTTATCCAACCGGTGAAATTGGTCATAAACTACTGTGCATTACAAAATTTTTGGTTTATGTCATGTTTTCCACACACAACATGGGGAGAACCAACAATCAAACATGCATGCTGGTGTCATACAGGTTTGTTTACATACTGTTTCATGGGTTGAGTAAAATCACTCTAGTTGTTCCTTTTTTAATGTTTCATATAAATTTTGGTTACCTTTTTCCTGTTATGATATCTTTTGTTGATAAAATCATCTTGATAAATAGGATACATTGTAAGTGTTTGGAACAAATAAACACTTTTTTTGTGTCATTTAAGCAGGAGTGATTGGTGCTAAATATTTTTTCTAACGACATGTGCAAACTGTAATTAATCTAACTCAAAATTCAGGCTTAAATTGCTCATCTAACAAACAAATGGGTAGTTAAAAAAAAAACTCCTTCAGTTGTACTTGAACATGCAACACTTCCATGGAAATAAACATCTTCAGTACAAATAATTCAAGTAAATAACTTCAGGTGAAATACTGATTTTTTGGAATTTGTGAAATATAAAGTAGACTACACTGCACTAATATACAATAAATCCATTCTATCCTTTTTTTACTCACTTGCAACTATTTGGCTCTAACTGTTCAATACTATTTGACAGATTACAGAAAGTAACTCTGTCCTTCCAATTTATTATATATACTTTTGAATAAAATAAAGCAGTTGACACCAGATCGAGGAGTCAAGGCTATTTTATTCACCCATTCACTCATAATGGTTGGTAAGATTTCTTTTTTATATGGGTTGCTGTAAACGTAAAGATTTTAAATAAATTCTTTGCAATTTAAATGTTTGTGTCATTTTTTAAAATTTTACTGCTCTGGAAATGCACTGGATATGAAACTCTGGAACTAAACAACTCCAAAGGAGGTTTTGTGGACAAATTCATGGGTCTGATGTGAACATGCTTAAGAGGTCACATTCTCTATTGATGTTCTCTGGCCATGTCTAGGTACTATTCACAATTTGGAGCTGCGGAATTTTGGATATAACTTGAATTAGGCATGCTTCAAAACCCAATTGAAACTGTTAGAGTGAACGCATGACCTGTTAGGTATTTAATTATTAGTATTACACTGTGCCAAATAGCTTTCCTTTACTGATTTTATTTAAAATTACAAAAAGTCTTTCTCCTCAAGTTGCCTTCATTTCCAGTCTCTCCACATTCCATAATGATGCTGTTTTGTAATGCTCAATAAGACCCATCCATCACTATCAACTTGCTTTAAGATACTTGCCACATCAGTTCTGTGGTCTCCTTGGTCCAAAATTCCAAGGCTCTATCCCACTTGTAAAGAAAAATCTCTGTCTCAACCTACCCATCCTTACCTGCCTCCAGTAATCAAAATTAACCTTTTTTTCTGTTGTCATCACTGCATGGTAACACCCTCTTGGAACATTAAGGCCTTGGAATACCTTCCTTCCTTCCTTCTTTCAAATAGAGAATCTGTAGGGTTGGAATCTGTGAAGAAAATCAGTCTCCATTAGAAAAGAAACTTTAATGACACTCAGCTGATGAAAGACTGTCTTTACCAAATTGGTATTAAAATGCACATTTGGCCTACTTTCATTGGGTTGGTTGGACTTCTTTGCTAATGAAGTACCACTAACCTTGAGTATCAGTATGTTAATGATAATATGCTATGAATTAACTCAAGGGACAATGAAAACAACCTCATCCTTCTGTTAACCCAACAAACAAATTTAGCAATCAAAGAAGGAACATCAATCATTAGATGTATTTATAATAATTTCCCTTAAAATTTATTGCAGACATAAGGCACTAAAAAACATCCAAAACTGGTCATCAAAGGACACATAGAACAAAAGCAATAGTAATTATAATTGTAATAATAGTAATAATAATAATATTCCCCTAAACTACTTGGCATGTTACAAGAACATCTCTACATAGTATAAAATAATAATAATAATAATGATATTCCCCTACACTACTTAGCATGTTACAAGAACATATATGCATAGTTTTAATTAATAATAATAATAATAATAATTATAATAATAATAATAATAATAATAATAATAAAGTAAGAGAAAACCTAAACAGAAGAAAACTATAAATCACTCATAAATTCTGCATACCTCATAAGAAGCATCTTTGGGAGGCTTGAGGAGCTCAAACAGGACAAAATCTTCATCATCTGGTTCACTGGCTATAAAAAAAGCATACAATGCTTTCATTAGCAAATAACAAAAAACAAACAAGGTTTATAGAGATAAATAATTATGGAACAATGTAGCAAAAAACTCATCTTACAAAAACAAAGAGACAAAGAGTGAAAATGGTCAACATAATTATTAACTACCTTGAATATTGTTTTCATTTGACAGCTGTGTCTTTGTCCAGTAGTTGAATGTCTAATGGTGAAAGAGGAGGGAGGAGAACAAATAAATCATCATTAATATCGTCATAATCCTCCTCAAAATCTCCTGATTCATACTCACCAGGAAAAGCAACACCAAAACCAGCAGAAACCTCTTCCATGGTTTTTCCAGTACTAAATGGACTCACTCCTGTTTTGCATTTCTTGATTCCATCTTCACCTATTCTTGCACTGCTGTCTTCACCAGCACAATGCGCAAAACAGTATCTGCCAGTTTTTCATCAACATATTTCTGGCATCCATTGAAGCTACAATCTGCTAAACAAAATATAGTATTTGTAAATAAGTACTAGCTATCTATGATTGCTACCTTTAACATACACTCACTGATTAACCCTTTATACCCTTACATCAGTAGGCATATTCTCCGTACCGTTCTCTATACATTTCCTGAACTGTTGACAAGGAGAATTTGTTTAAAAATCAAGAGCTTTATAAGTTGTTGGTCATTTCCTTGACTCATGTGGGATGTGGGGTGATATCAGGGGTGATTTTGTAATGAGAAATTAGAGGCTGGCCACTCTTAGGGTTAAAGGGTTAAGATTTTTTCTTTCATTAATGTATTGCAAACTGTACATAACTAGTAAAGCAGATCCTATTTAATGGTTCAGAGATGACCTTTCTACAAGTAACTGGAGTTGAGGCAATGGAAGGTATTATTGCATGCTCAGTGTATTGTAGCATAGTATTTAAAAGTTTCCTGTTTCTGAATTCCAGCAGTGGATAACTCTTGTATTCCAGTACTGTTATTTTCCAGCCCCTCTCAGCTGTTCTCAGTTTCTCAGCAGGAGTTAACTGTTGTATT